AACGGAAGATGAAGATCTGGCGAAGTTGAGTGTGCTACATAAGCTAATCACGCCCCAGATGCAAGAGCCAAGCGAAAGGACGAGCGACCCCGGGTCAGCAAAGAAATTGGAGCCGGGTAGCTGTCTGGATTCGACGTGTGGGAACGGAGAACACATCTGCGATGGACGGTCATGCGTCAGAATACTGTCGTTTCAAAAAGAAGACCTGGTCACTTGGTTCGAAGACATCACAGAAAGGGAGAAAAGAGAAGTGCAAATAACAGCGGAATGTTACGCGAGAACCACGGTGAATATAGCGACAGCTCTCGGATTCTTCTCGAGAATGTGTGGTCTGCAGGCACTGGAGAGACTGGAATCTGAACATCATTTAGTGACGGCGTTGAGCGTAGAATCATGGCCCGGGGTGTTGCAGGTGACTCAAAAACACATCCGGAGCTGGAAGGTTGGTCTTGAGGCGGAAATGGGATTTCCCATGAGCGAAGCTTATGGCTTGCCATTGAACGCGAAATCGCTGATAGGGTCAATGATGGCCAACTTGTGCGGAAGTCACTACCCGCTACACATGGCGATGGTGGAAGTGTCCAGCCAGAGAATACTGGTGGACAAGGCCTTCTCAGTGCCCATGTGCGTGAGGTTGGCTCGGATGTCGCATCACTCGCACAAGTTGTTGAGAAAAATCAAAGGGACAGTACCAAAAGAATTGAGAGATGACTTAAGCGAAATCTGGGGAGAAGATCTTCTGAAGTTGGAAAGAGAAAACACGAGCGATCACGAGAGACAAAACGTGATCGGGAAACCTGTGGGAAGTACTCCGAACCTGGAAGACAACGACACGATGCACGAGAAAATGATGGAGCTTGAGCCTCTCTTGGAAGCCTCAGCGGAGCGTAATCTCAGGAGCATTGAGATCTCTCATGGGGAATGCCCATGCCACTGTTTGGCACAAACGGTGTGGTATCCAGATCACAAGAACCTTTGCCTGGTGTGGGATGTGGAAGAGATTCGGTCGATCGGACTACCGGATCACCGGCAGAAGGTGACGCTCTTAGTAGTGAGTACGATGTTAGCTCTGAGATGGATAGAAGAGAATATAACGAAGTATCGGGAGGCGACGACGCCAACGGCTGAGTCAATATACGCGATAGACTACAGCAGGAGACTCGAGTTGTTTGAGACTGCGTGCAAAGTATTCGCCATACCGACGGAAGTCAGGCACGTATGGAGTCGCTTGAGGTACTTTCCATGGTTTCGGGCGACACTGACGTCTTGGTTGTACATGACAACGAAAGATCACATGAGAAAACATCAAAAAGAGTATCGACAGTTCCAGGCCGAGATTGGGCCGGAAGCTTTCAAGAGACCCCTGCTAACCCATCGTAATGCGATCACGACAGGATGGAAAAGAGTGGGTAAGATGTCTAGAGACAATACCAAAGCGAGGGAGTCGATACTAGAGGAAGACCTGGCGAAGAACGTGAGCTTGAGCCTGCACAACTCCTTTTGCTTGAACCGAGAAGCTAGGGTGAAGGCACTACCCAACCAAGCAAAGAGGTTGCAGGAGCAGAGAGAATGGATGCGATCCTATGAACAGCTGAAGGCTTGGGAGGAGATTGTGATTAGTTCCGATGATGAAGAGGAACTGTTGAGACAGTTTGCCGCATCTAGCACTTCAGGATGCAGTACCTCCAAGGCGAAGAGTACGAGATGAATGGGCAAATCGGATGGATCTTGAGTCTTGAGAGGGAAGGGGGGCTTGAGCGTGGATCCGAGTGAAACTTGGATTCACGAAAAAGAAATTTTAACAAAGCAAATATTGTTACTAATATACTATATTTATTATATAAATCGAAATGCTGCATGACAATTTCCTGATTGAATAGGACAAAAGAGATTTTAAAATGATTGGCTTGAAAAGCGAAAATTCAAGGGTGCAGGTGTATGCAGATTTTGGTTGCTGTTTAGCAATAGTGTGAAAATTTTAAATGGCTGTGAATTTTGGGGTGTAGATAAGCTTAAATCTGCTGCAAACTTCTGTAAATGACCACTGGCACTGTATCTTGAGCAACACTCGGTTTTTCTGGGACTCACTGGCAGAAGACAGCGCGCGATGAGGACATCGATCTCGAGTCCGGGGAGTATGTGCCAGTCGGTCATATTTGGAAGTTTGACCTTGAGAGAAGCAAAAAACACTTGATTTTGGAGTGAAATTTAATTTTTCAAAATTTCGAATGGAACCTGTCATGCACGATTTTCTCGCGAGAACTGAAAATCAGAAAAAGAGATCAGAACAATTTCAGAACAATTGAGTCGAAAACGCGGGAAAGTCGCAAGAAAAAGCAGTAGGAAATTGCTATTCGCAATTTCCATCACTATAATAATCGAGAGTAGAGCTGTCCCATCTGTGACAGAGACGAGAGCATTCCCTCGAATTGGATTATAACGACTGGAGTATTATTCGGAACTGGACTAGAGTGAACCTTCGGTGGAAAGGTGGACAGCTTGAGTGTCCTAATGGTTCACAAGAAAACTATTGTCTAGAGTATAAACTCGTTCTCATTGTTAAAACTATAAAACATTAGACTCATTTAGTTACGTTATTTAATTCTTGAGTTAGTTACCGACTGGATTATTTCCCACTTCTTGAGCGTGCTACTATGTGAGTACAAATTTAAATTCCTAGAGTGTGTTTTATAATTGTTATGTTGAGGTAAGGCGAGTTTTAGGTTGATCCATCTGAAATGGATCAAAGTTACACTGTCTAATAAAAAGTAACTTAACGGATTGTTCCAACCCGGTTTTTAACGGCGTTCATGTATTTTGGGTATCTAGAGACCTAAGTATGGGGACGTTTCTAATTCTAGAGTGGGGGGGATATTTTAGTAGTAGCCTTTAAGCTGTAACGGGTCGTAGTCTCATGTCACAAGCGAACCGAACTGGCTCCGACCGTTCTTGAGGTAGAAAAACACAAGAGATAGTGTCCCTGACCCTTGAGCCAGTGGTTATAGGGCCTATTTTTCTTAAGCCTCATGTGTGACTGCAGTAGACGAATGTTACAAAATTGTGCTTAAAGTTTTCGTAACTACTTGGTGATTCATTTTCAAAAAAGTTTTTTAGATCTTCACGAATTAAGCTGGCGTTGTTTTTTAAAATTTCTTCATTTAGTTTCCAGTAACTAGGGCCGCGCTGATACAAGTTAGATGGCTTAACAAAAACGTGTAAGAGTAAATGATCAGAAACCGATATTTGAGTCATACTCTGTTTGGAATTTCATAAAAACATAATCTATGCGCGCAAAAGTTTTATGTTGTTTGTCATAATGTGTATAATCACAAAAATCATTCTTGAGTGCAAAATCAACAAACCCAAAACAATCAAGAATTTGTTCTTTGAGTTGGGTAAATCGTTTGATATGTGCATCATTTAACTTAAGTATTGAAGAACTGTTAATATTGTCATAACTCAGCGCATTAAAATCACCCATCATGATAATTTTCGAATTATTAGGTAAAAATCTGATGCTTAAAATCTGATGCTTACTTTGTTATTTTCGATATTTAAATTGTTTTTTTTTCTTTAGCAGAGTAAGAATGAAAATCTACGACCTGATTGTTGAGAACCTCATCCTTTTGTTTTTCTTCGCTTGGAGTTGCTACACTGTTTGTTTTAGATTCATTAATTAAAACTCTACATGGTGGTGTTTCGACATTCTTATCTTCTTCATTTTCGGTACCATTACAAAACTTATCGCTTGTTGTTTTGTCATCGTTTTTCTCATCGCTGGCATTATTGGAGCTCGGTTTTTGTGGGTACTGATTATTTAGATTATTGGTTATTTGGTTTCCTATGTTGCACCAATCATCGTGATAACCTTTTTCTTGGCGTCCAGACATCTTGCATTTTTGACATTCATGTAGTGAAGGTATGTGAAACGAGATTTCTACACCTTCCCTTATTTTGAAGCCATCCATTCTCGATTTGTAAGACCAGTCCGTCAGCTTTTTCTCTTGTTTTTCGTTTTGAATTTTAACTTCTAAAATGGCTCTTCCTGTGTAAACATACTGACCCGGTTCAGTTACGATACAGGTCTCACGTTGGAATATGGGGCTATGAATTATGTCTTCTGGCAATTTGAGAACTAATTTCGCTTCGATATCCTTGCATACATAAAGCAAGTTCGACAATTTGATTTTGGCTAGTTTAGGGTAAATGTTCTTGGGTCTATGAGACCTTGGAAAGCATCCCATGGGAAATACCGTCCTGTTAAGTAGAATGATTCCTTCGCTTTTGATGCTAGTTATGAATTGCTCTGCTTCGGGGGGAGCAATTACTGTCAGCGTATGAAGTTTGCGGTAATCTTTCGTCACAGTTATTGTTTTTGAGATTGTCATTTTCTGTTGCATTGTTGTGGGGAATTGCTTAAGTACATCGGAAGCACAACTCCGATAAGCCTGCGACAGATTTTCAGCTGGTTTGACATTTTCTCTCGAGAATGGGGGGATTATTTTGATTATTTGGATTTGTTTTGTTTCTGTTGTCGCTTTGTTTGCTGTTAGCGCATTTCTGAATTTTGACTCCGTTTCAATCAGCACTTCATGAGTAATTGGTAGCTGAGATTCCGTCAGTTGTTGTTGACTCTGACTTGGTTTTACTCAATGGGGGGCAAAAAAAGCCTTCACCCGGAGATATACTTGAAAAAAAATTAGATTTTTTTCGTTCAAAATGTAGAAATCAGAAGGTAAAAACATCAATTATATTGCACGTGCGTTTTTTATATTTTTTTTTCATATGTTTGCATTTATTTAACTTTTAAGAGAAAATTGTTTTTTTTTGGAATTTTCGTTTAAAAGATGTTTTCAACTTAGGCGCCAAATTGTGTATGTGCATGCGAATAGTTTGTTCAAATTTCGCCGTAGCTTCCGAAATTTTCTGATTGTTACCGGTTTTTTTATTTAAAATGCGATAGAATGTGAACAACTGCCAGGGCGCCTGTGATTCGCTAATAATGTTGTATTTTCAGATCTGAAATAAATTTGCCGAGATGTCTGTCACTTTTGACGATATAAAAAAGGAAATCGGTTCTGGAGATATGGGCAAAAAAGTACTCCTCGCATATTCCGGTGGTTTGGACACATCATGCATCGCGGTTTGGTTGAAGGAACAAGGCTTTGAAGTCATCTGCTATCTGGTAAGTTTTTTGATATTTGATGTTGAAATCAACGCGTAGCCATCTGAAGGAATTATCATGCTCATGGTAACAACAGGTTTCGGTGAAGTGCCTCAAAATTAACGTTTAAGGTATTTTTGGGAATAGTTTAAGATAATTTAATTCAGATTCCAGGAATTGACATATATCTTTGTTTCTCCAACAAAGTTTTATGAACTTGTCAAAATTTACTGAAAAAACCCCACCCTGTGTCATAGTTCTGCTCCATTTATTTAAGGAGGGGGGCGTCAAAAACAAAATTTCTGCAATGTTAAGCTCTCAGTTCATTATTTTAATAGATATGAGCAGTTGCAGAAAAATGTTCTTTGTACTGAAATGTTTTGACTTAAATAAGTGTTTTTTTTTCCCGGAAAAATCGGGCACCAGTTTTTTGTTCGGTCCCTCAAAATTGATGTCCCATATAAAGTCGAATAGAACTTCCAAAGGCGCAGAAATTTTGATCAAATGCAGTAAGAATCAAATGAATCATTAATTATTGTAAGCTACCATTTTGGTATCGTATTACTCCAAATCTTTGCAGTAAGCTAGGCGCGTGTTCTAATTGCCTCTCTACGCATTTTAGCAAGCAATACAGGGACCAATCATGTAACTTAGTTTGTTGACCAATATAGGTAAACTAATATAAATTTTTCTTAATTTCCAGATTTACCAGCGGAATGAAAATCAAATAGCTTTACCGTGATTTATTTGTTTATTCGACAATTGAAATTTTCAAAATTAAATCTTTTTTGTGGTATCTAGCCAACCAGCGTAGTGTCATATTGCGCACTCCACAATATTTTGAACCTAAATCTCAAACAAAACTGCTCTTTTGTTGAAACTTTTGCTTCAATGTATAGCATCGGCAATTTCATTGCATCAGTAGCTGCTTTTTTGCTGGTGTGTGTCAAAAAGTTTTCAAGCGACCGTGACGCAGATGTGAAGACATCAGGCGCCTAACCTCTAGGTCGGAAGTTTGAATCCGAACCAAGACAAAAGTTTCCTATTGTTTTTATTTTCTACCTTGTTTTCCTTTTTCATTAAAAAAGTTTGTGTTATTTTTTGCCCTTTTGTCGCTTTTGTTTGCGAAGTGCAACTTCGTCTCTGTGGCCAGTATGTGATCAGCAATTGTTATTGTGACATTGACAATTTAATAGCAGATGATTTATCCGCTTCATTGGTGGTTAGTGTTCTAAGGCATCAAGCGATGGTGGCGCAGCTGTATTGACATTGGACTCTAAATCTGGAGTTCGTTTGAGGCAATTTTTTTGTTCTTCAGGGAAGATTTACTAATATTGTGTATTTTTGAATTTTGAAGCTGCAGTTTGAAGTTTTTTCGTGCTTCCTAAGTGCAGCTTCTCTGTTGAATGTTACAACCCTTACGGAACTAACCACTGAATTTCAAGAAGTAAAGATTTTCTCAGCCGGTTTTGATTTGTTCTATTGTTCAACTTGTAATGTGTTTCATTTATAACATTAACAGCGCCATGAGGTTTTATGGTTAATAATTTTACTAGACTGCTAAAAGCTGAAATGAAGGGACATAAACCGCTAAAAGTAATTTAAAAGTTCTGAAAAAGGTGCTGTCCAGGTCTGCCATGTAGCAGTTTGAACAAAGACACGCCAATCCCCAAGTGTAAGCAACATCGATATTGTTATAATTCTCGAAATAAATCCATGATAAGTCGGTTCTTCAGACCAGTTTGTCGTTGTTTAACTTTTTATTTTAGACTTCTTGCCTCTTTCTTCTCAATCTACATTTTTTCTGACTTTCGAAAAAATTTTTGTTTTAAAAGGCCTTTTCAGCCTACAGTTTTTTCGGAGCTAAAATTGTTTGGTCATAAAAAATGTTTATTTTCTGAACCTGTGTTTTTTCCGTCCAAGCACGTCCAATTTAAACATCATATCTTATAAACTCTGAAAAAGATATTATGATTATAGTATTAGCCGCAGAACTTAACAAATTTTCATTTGAAAACTGTCCAATTTTCTCGATTGATTTTTTTCTGATACAGTCATTCATCTGGGCTCAATTTGAAATTTGGGCGATTGATTATGACTGATTTGCTGTGCATACGTGGCTCTAAGATTTCAGCAATTATGAAAACTGAATTCAATGGAGAAATTCATGCGGTAAATTCCAAATCTATCAAAAAGTTACTCAAAAAGGTTGAAACTACTTTGTGTTAACACTTATTAGTTAAAGTAAAAAGTACGGTAGTCAGAACTTTCTTGGATGAGACGAGTTATATTTTCATCTTCCAGAGCAAGTTTATTGCAATCGGATTTCTTGCTTTTTTCCCTTAATACTTTGTCCACAGGACTCATCTCCTGGGCGCTCTGCTTGAACTTTAGTTCAACAGACGACCTATTTTGGGTTAGTTTTCAATTTGAACACCCGTTCTACTCGACATTGTTTTTAAAAGTCGATAAACGTAGTCTTACAATTTTTTTTTCAGGAAAAGTTTCAAATTTTGTTCAGGCTCAAATTTACTTTGTTCGCAATTTGACTTTTGATGTCCTATTAAGTTCAGCCCATTTATTCTGTTAATAGCAAGGCAAACTCCCCTAAGGAAAAACGAAAGCGTAATCGCCGCGAAAAACGTGTAAGACTTTCAACTTCGAAAAATAGAAATTCGAAAGCTGAGATTTTCCAAACAAATAAGTCAGTGTTTTTTTCTGTTTACTTGCGTCCATTTTCCAACCGTCTGTTGGCTTTGTTTTTTATCTTGATTATTTATCTTTGGTCTGTCAATTAACAACACCGTTTTGGTAAATATTTTTTTATTTTCCATTTTTCCAATTTTTATTATGTCTGAACGCGTGATGTTACGAAGTAAGGTATAAAAACATATGTTTTCACAATAGTTAATTTGTTCACCATGCAAAATTTCATACGATTATGACAACGTAAAATTACTTTTTCATAAATGAAATTCAAATGTGAGGAGGGAGGTGGAAAAGAGCTGATTTTTTTACTACAAATTGTGATATGAAAGTTTTGGTTGATGCTTTTTAATAATTTTCTTCGACTTGAAACGCCCGTATGCTGCCCAAAGGCATTCCCCATCATTGAAAGCGAAAAGACGTTTTTTTTTGCTCAAAGATAGAATCTTTCAGCAAACAGTCTCCACGGCTACTACTTTACATAATTTTTGAGGTCGCACCGACAAAAGTTAGTCTTGTAGTTGCGAGTGGGGGAATCTCAGTTGTGTGAAGGGCCGAATGCGCAGAAATTTTGTCAAACTATCAGAGCTCAATATTGAAATATTCGAAAGAAATAAGATAAATTTAGTCAGTTCGGACAGTTTAAAGGGCGTTGTTTGGCTGAGAATTTTTGCGGTTTCGGTCCATTGTGCATGATAATAGCCCCGTTCCTAGTATTTCAAAATAGCTTGTCAAAACTATAGCCAACCTAAACCCCGCCATTTTAATAAAACCATAATATGCTTAGAGATCATGTGCCGCTCGCTCGACAGTCTACATTTACATAAAACGGCTATGTTTAAGACCCGATGAACATAGTTCAGACTATTATATAGGTCGCGATTTTTTTTCAGGAAAAGATCTTAAAATTTGTTCTTGCTCAAATTTACTTTTTCGCGGTTTGACTTTTGATTTCTTTTTAAGTTCACTTCATTTCATTTGTTAAAAAGAGGGCAAGCTCCACTATGGAACAGCAAAAGTATAAAGATCGCAAAAAACGTGACGTATTTCTGGTTTTGAAAGTGGAATTTAATTTTCAGATTTTCCAGCGAAACAACAATTTTTCTTATTGATCCTGTTTTCTCAAATTGGGTTAATTTTGTCAAACCAGTGCCTATCATAAATTGTTCTAGAAACTCAGAGCTCTAAGTCATCTATTTTGTTCTTTGAAATTCGAAAGTTGAGATTTAAAAAAACATGTCAGTGTTTTTCCTGTTTACTTGGCGTTCATTGACTCTTTTCCAGCTGTCTGTTGGCTATGTTAAATTGCTTTGATAATGTTGAAAGTTTCAGTAATATGTTTGCATTAGGGCAGAATAATTTTAAAAAAATTCCCTCTGCTTGCTTAGGCCGATGTCGGACAAAGAGAAGATTTCGATGCTGTGCGAAAGAAGGCCAAGGAAATCGGCGTCTCCAAGGTAATGATGAAAATGTGGTAAATCTGACATTTTTCTGCGAAAGAAGCCATTTGTTCTAAGATGACATGTTTGCCTAATATCCAACAACTGAGTTTTATATTTTGAATCGATGTCTCTTAAGACTTGGCTTGCTACGCATCGCTACTCGATAGATAGGAAATCGATGTTGTAATTTAATGCAACGATGACCCTGTTTTAGGGCAAAGACTTAAAACTTTGTGCGATGTTTTCTAAAGTGTAAAAAAATATCACGTTAAGTTAACAAACTATTGTTTTTGTTCAAAAATTGAGGGTTTTGTTTAATTTTGTGGTTTTCGATAATGATGATATTTTAGAGACCATTAAGAAATTTCAAAATTTAAGATGTGAATAAGTTTTTTGACGAAAAGCTGAAAAACTGTTTTTGATCAGTAGGAAATAATTGCTTAAATTAGGTATATAGCTAATTATCTAATTATCACAATTGATCTCCTAGTTTATGACTGGAAGACGAGTCCTTATAAAATTTCATGATTTTTCCGGAAATACCTTTCGGCTAATTATTTTTATTTTAGTTGCCGCTCGATAAATTTTTCTGAATACTTATTTGACATCGGCGATTGTATTGGTGGACGTGTTTTCCTCAAATCAGACATAATATTATGAAGTTTTTGCAACTAGGTTTTTTTACTTCATTTTTTATCTGCTTTCAAAGTTATGTTTGCGTGGTGTATGGCCCTGGCTTCGCCTCTGTCTTCAATATTCTGAATAAGGACGTCTAAAAACAGGCCATAGGGTCCAATAATGGGTGATATATTACAATAGGTGACAGGTTCAAGTTGATTAGCTGGATTGCTTTTTGTTATTCTTCGAACAGTATTTATAATTTATTTCTAACGCCAAATTTTTTGACAACAGAAGTGTAAAATTAGAGTTTTTGACTAACATTTTATCTGGCAGAGTAATGTATTTACAAAAACTATCTGAGTAGCATGTACAATTGATTGAAAATGAAATGATTATATGTTAGGCATTATAGTTCTCAAATTTTATTCTTGCACTTCACTCAAAATTACCACCTATTAGAACATATCACCCAATAATGTTCTCTCAAAATGAAAAAAAATGAAATTTTATATTAAAGCTTTAGAATCTTTCTATAAAAATGGAACATTAGCTGAAATCAATTTGTTAGTGTAGGTTTTGTTTTTGCGTAGTTGGTGATTGCTGATCTGAAGGAGGAGTTTGTGAGTGAGTTCATCTGGATGGCGATCAAGAGTGGGGCCCTTTACGAGGACAGGTACATGATGGGGACCTCCTTCGCCAGGCCATGCATAGGTAGGAAGATGATCGAGGTAGCCATGGAGGAGGACGCAGAATACATCTCACATGGAGCCACTGGAAAGGTTAACTTAATCAGTAGAACAGTAGGCCCTTTTTCCTTTTCACCCCCACCTCACATAAGCGTCAATTTTATGGTGTAACGAGGGGTTTTACAAGGGTAATTATGAAGACCAAAAACGTTTGTCATGACCTAATGAGTTCGCATGCCAATTTTTGTAACATTCGGATAAAGTGAACAAAACTTCACTAGAAAAATCTTGCAGGTGGGGGGGGGGGAAGGAAAAAGAGCCGAACAGTATTTTTTGATAAACTTTTCTGAATACTTATTTGGCACCGGTGATTGTATTGCTGGAAGGCCTTTTGTCACATTAAACATAATATTTTTTGAGTAGCCGTGGACGAGTGGGTTAGGCACACGTCTCCTGTCACTAGGGTTGTGCGTTCGAATCCCTCTTCGGCCTCGGTTGGAGGGGTCACAGTGTCATCCCTCTCCTCACTTAGTAACTTCTGTGATGGTCTTGGTGATATAGGTCGCGGTTTGAATTATCATTCTCTTTTAAGTTCACTTCATTTCCTTTGTTAAAAGGAAGGCAAACTCCACTATCGAAAATTGAAGCTTTTTTCAAAAATTAAGTCAGTATTTTTAAATTTTTTTCAGTGTTTTTTTTCTGTTTCCTTGCTTTCATTGACTCTTTTCCAACTGTCTGTTGGCTGTGTTTTTGAAAATGCTTCCCGTTAATATGTAAAATATTTGTTATTTTCCCCTTCTGAACAGTTTTTGTAATAGTTTCATCAAATTTCATATTTTTAATAAACCCGTATGAAAGCGTTTTATCAAAGAAATGAGTGATAGGTTTCCATGGAAACAAAAAACAAATATATTTCCCTTTTCAAAATAATTTTACGTGTTGTTTTTGTTGATTCTGACCATTTCGATTGATTAAATAAGCTCAAGGAATTCAATTAGCGCCAACTGCAAACCGTTCTACCCGATTAAATACCCGACTGAACCGTAAGAACCATTAAGTGTGGGCTTTGACCAGTCCGCAAAAAAGGGAACTTTCTTAGGCCTCCCTTATTTCCACCTGATTAGAGTGCTTCGCTTAAAGTTAATTGAAAAGAGAGAAGAAACACATTTCCAATACTCGAATTGTAATAGCCTCCTTTTTGTACAAAGTGGCGATTGAACAAAAAGTGAAACGCCTTTAAAAAGAAGGAAATATATTTTCAATGGATTCAATTTTGCGAAAATTTCCTTGATCAGTCGAAATTATGTTGAAAGCACGTTTGCAATTTTTGGTTCAAAAAGCCAAGTTTGAAATTTTTTGATTAATGCCATCTATCCCAGGTTTAGAATTTCTCAAAGAGGGCTCTGAAATTTTTTGATTAATGCCATCTATCCCAGGTTTAGAATTTCTCAATTTATGGGCTTAGGTCACACCTGATGGGTGATTGATTCGTCTTAGTGGTTCGTAATGGGAGTAGATGGGTTTCGATTTGACTTTTAATTGGTCCCTTTGAGCCTAAACGGATCAGTTGTCTTCTAATCTCTTCACCTGAAATGAGGTGGTGTTACTTTCTTTTTTCTTTCCACCTCCTGTACCGAAAAGGGTGCCTAATTAATTGGAAACGGAAAATAGAGAAGGTAGCATAAAATATGCTAGTTTATGCAGTGAAAAAAGGTTTTTAAAGGGACTTTTTTGCTCATGCGTAAATTATATGGAGCCCAAAATAATTTGAAACCGGAACTGATGAAAAGGAATATTACCCAAAACTACAGAAAATCTTAGGTTTTCACTGCTTTCATGATTCAATTTACCATGTGTAGAATTTGGATTGTTTCGAAAGTTTTGTTTTGTTTTTTTTTTTCAATTTTTTTCTTATTCTGACGGTTTTCATAAGTTTTTACACAAATGAAGTTTATACAACATGATTACCGCTCCAAGTTTTGACTACCATTTTTATTTCAGGCTTAAAACGTGCAAAAATACATGTTTGTATGTAATTTTAAATCGTGCCTTCATTTTTCACAAAATTGTGTTTAAGAGTAATGAACGTAGTAAGTACTCTTATCCAGGTCTTGCTGATTTTTTTTTCAGGAAAAAATCTTAAAGTTTGTTCACGCTCGATTTTGATTTTTCGCGGTTTGACTTGTGATTTCTTTTTGAGTTCAGTGCATTTCCATTGTTAAAAGGAAGGCAAATTCCACTATCGAACAGCAAAAGTGTAAAGGTCACGAAACACGTGATTGAGTTCAAACTTCGAAAATGGAAATTAATTATCAGATTTTCCAGCGAAATAAAAGTTTTGCCTATTGATCCAGTTTTCTCAAATTGGGTTAATTTTAAAGTGTCAATCATAAATTGTTCTATAAATTCAAAGAGCTTTAAGGCCATCTATATTTAAGAGTAATGAACGCAGTGAAGACTCTTATATAGGTCTTTCGTTTTTACTTGCGTTCATTACTCTTTTCAAATCTTCGATTGGCTATATTTTTCAAAATTTGAGGTTTTTTTGAAAAAATAAGTCAGTTTTTTTTCAGTTTCCTTGTGTTCTTTAATCTTTTCCAACTCTCAGTTGGCTATGTTTCAATTCATAAACTCTTAACTCCAACGGATCATGCTTAAACGAACTTCATCAGATTGTGATTATCAGGTTGGTTTGGCAGGCCAGGCCAGGCCACAACACGTCACACCAGTTATGTTGTTAGTTAATTAAAAAGTTATAATTTTATGCGCTAAGAGTGATTGCCGATACTCTTCTTTTGTAGAAAAATCGCTCTACTCAGTTTAATGGTTATTGAGTTTCGTCAAATTATATCGGAGTGTATATTTTTTATAGTCAAGACTCCTCAAGACTCTTAGCATCACTTGAAGAAAATGCATCTATTGCTATGTTTCAACGTTTAGTCAGCTGTAAGCTTGGTCAGATGGTGTTTGGCTGATTTATTGGCTTTAATCGATGGACTATTGTTTCTGAACCATTTGAGAATTGTGTACCTGATGTACCTTTCGTCGATATATGAAGTAACAATTCGGTCCACCTGTAACATAAATAGATTGCTGTTAATTTCATAAAAGAAAACAAATTCATTGTAAACAAAAGTAGGCGGTCGGTCTGCAAATATGAACTGTAGCAATGAGTTGCTTCGATGCAAGAACTGGCTAAAAATTAAATCCTTTTCAAAGTGAAGTCCTCTCATCTTTTTCGCGAAACAATTTATTTCCGATGGAAATTGTTGGATTTGGTGCGATCAAAACGAGCAGTTGATAAAAACTACACATCTAAAGATGAGTGTAAAAGCTGACAAAAAATGGCATCTAGTATTAGAATTTCAAAATTTTTAGGGTGCGTACCTACAAAGCTGCATTCCCAGTTTGCCGAGAAAACTAAATATATATCGTTCAGGGACAAAATTGAAAAATTCGTCAAAAAAAACCCTTAGATTTGAGAAGCCCCTTATTTTTGTAAAAAACAGTAAGCTTACTATAAATCCAAAAGACTTGGGCAAGGAATGTACTTTCATAGATATAAATACAAATTACACTTTCGAGAGCAAATGTCTTGTAATCGGGAATTAGACTTTTTCCTGTAAACAACTTTCATTTGAAAATTTCAACTTGCTTTATTATTGAACCTTAACAACTTCCAGGTTCCTTCCCATTTGGCCTAGAGGTCATGACATCGCTTTCGCATTCTAAGGTCTGGGGCTCGAGTCCCGGACGGAACTTGCTTTTTATTTCAGTATGTGTGCAATTTAATTTTTTTTCAGGTAAAAATTGAATTTCGGATATTTCGTTTGTCTGCTCAAATTTTCGGGTTAGTTACCACATGCAAGTTTTTCTTGTGCTGTCAGCAATTTTCGTTGTGGTTGCAAGTGAAGATGATCTTCATTGTAGTTTTAGGAGGGGCTTAAAGCTTTGAAGATTTTTTTACAAAATCATTTTTTTCGACTCATTTTTGTCTGCTCAAGCTTGTCGGCTTTGTTTCCTCTTTGTTAGTTTTGTTCCGTTGCTTACTCAATATTCAAATATCCGGCATGTTTGCTTAGAATGAACTTTTGGCAAGTATTTTTTGCATGTTCTTTTTGTTGTTTTGAGTATGAAAATCACTTCCCTTCAATAATTTTCACTGCGTTGCGACCTATTTTATGGCGACAATGCTGTTGTCACTCAACATGAGTCAATTTTGTAATGAACATTTTCCTGTTGGTACACTCGCTTGTTCCCTGTTTCAAGTTTTAGTTTGATATATGAATGTTTGGAAAAATTGTTTCAGTATTTCGTTACGAATTTTTTAGTGTAAATGAAAGTAGTGAAGAATCTTATATAGATCGTGATGATTTTTAAATAAAAATTTCTGAAAATTATTTTTCGCTCAAAGTTGATAGTTTGCGTTGTAACTTTTTATTTATTTTTCTGTTCTGTTTATTCTTCTCCGTTGAAAGAGAGGCAAACTTCACTATCAAATAGCAAAAGTTTCAAGGTCCTTGAAACTTTTGATCGACTTCTAATTACCAAAATTGATTTAAGTTTTCAGATTTCCCCAGCGGATTGAAAATTTTACTCATTGATCCAGTTTTGTCAAAAACGCGTCCATATTAAATTGTTTCAATCTTAAATTGGGTTGAAGTTTGAATTATATAGTATTTTCAATTTGGGTATTTTCAATTTTTTTTGAAATTCAAAGAGCTTCAAAAATAAATATTTTTACTTTAGAAATTCGAACGTTCAGTCTTTTTTCAAATTGATCTAATAACTATAAAAGTTCACCATACATATTATTGCATTTATAATAGCACTAAGGAATATGCGTTTTTTGAGTTCGAATACATTTTTATTTGCTAAAAGTTGAGTAAATTGCGCTTTCCAGTTACAAAAGGGGAAATAGCGCGAAAAAACGTAATCTACTTCTAGTTTCGCGGAGGATTTGGTTTCTAGATTTCCCACGGACTAAATAATTTACCATTTGATCCAGTTTTACTAAATTGGTTTAGTTTTAAGAAAAATGTGTGAGTCATGAACAGTTCTTATTTTTCTAAAGAGCTTTTATTCGTAACATTACACAAAACTTTTTTTTTGACTTCATGACAATAATCCCCGAGGGTTCTTGATTATAACCTCTGTATCTTGTCTTTTAACGGGGGGCTTACTTTGCATGTATTGCTGCTGGTTATTAAGACCATGAGAAGAGCTTTTATTCGTAACATTACTCAAAACTTTTTTTGACTTCGACCCTTTTCAATAGACATAGTTCATTGACACTTTTCCTTAACATAGCCAATTTTCTGCTGGCTAAGTTTCCTTTTTGTCGTTTCTACAGCTGATTTTTTCTTTTTTTGTCTCAGAGAACTGCAGTTTCAGCTATGTGTTACTACTTGTAACCATTTTTTGCTAAAGATTCCGAAGTGCAGCTTCGCCTCTGAGTTCAGACTTTTTTCTCTGCCGTGTTGAAAATCATTTGAAAAAAAAACCATTAATCACTCGCTTTCAATTTAATTTTACAAGGATTTTCTCTGTATACGTTGGCTTATGTTATTTTTTGAGCCTATTTTAATTCCTTCTTACAAATCAAAAAACAGCATAAAATTTGGGACAATTTTTTTTATTATATACATTTTTTAAATTACTTTTTGATCCAGTTTATTTAACTTCTTGATCCAGAAAATTATCCTTTGATCCAATTTTCTCAAATTGGGTTAATTTTTGTCAAAATTTTTCAATCAAATTGTTTTTGAAATCGGAAGAGCTTTAAGGCCATATTTTTCTTTGAAATTCGGTAGTTAGTTTTTTCCAAAAATAAATGAGTCATTTTTTTAATTCACTTTCGTTCATTCACTTTTTTCCAGCTGTCTGTCGGCTATTTTTACGATATAGTATCTTTTCACGTGTTAAACATCAACCAACTCCCCGCAATATTTTGTGATCTTTGCAGATGAAACGGCTCGAATTTCTTGATAATTTTTCTTTTTTTTCTGATTTTTTCAAGGGTGCTACTTCTGAGGTTTATACTTCTGAGCAATTGGTACGTTTGTGATGATAGTACGTGAAATCATTTATATAAAATTCTGAATTTTGTAAGAAGATTCAATATATAAAGATATCGTCGTAATGAACTAAAATTTACTATACAAGAAGGGTACTTCACATTTCATCAAATTGTACATTGATATGTAGTTTCGGTTCTCAACATAGAGGTAGATCTTTAAAAAAGTTAATACATTCCGTGGCTTCCAAACTGAGGAGCTGATATGTTTTCTGAGTTGAAAGATAAAAGCGAATTGTGATTGGCTGCCGCTACTGACCGCAGTTGGGCCGCTGTTACAATATTATTGGCTGAAACGTCAATCTGACTGCTGGAGTCTTGCCTGGTCATCGCTTCTGCAGGCAAATCGCCCTGGGAGTCAAGATCGTTCAAGTAGTTCTCAGGTCCCTTTGGGTTCATGCTCATATTGAGGATGGGAGTAATGCTAGATTTGTCGTCGACTTGAGGGTTCTTGATTATAACCTCTGTATCTTGTCTTTTAACGGGGGGCTTACTTTGCATGTATTGCTGCTGGTTATTAAGACCATGAGAAGTGCCTCGTGATTCAGAATCACCCTGTTGATCGTTTTGGTTCCCGTTACTGTTTCCGTTCTGCGATGATGCGGTTCCTGATGATGGCGAGCTGTGTTTGGACTTTTTAGTCTTATATCTGTGGTTCTGGAACCAGATTTTGACCTGTGTTGGACTTAGGTTAATCAAATGTGCCAGACTTTCTCTTTCAGCGGCCGTTAAGTATTTCTGCTGTTTGAATCGTCGTTCAAGTTCGTGTATTTGAGCCTGAGTGAATAAAACGCGTCTTTTTCGTCTGTTCGCGAGTCCGAAGAACTTAGCGGGGTCGGCATTGGCGCCTGGTGGGAACCCTGTTAGCGATAGACCTGTCATTGGATTGTATGCAACGGCAGCTGCTGCAGAACTGCGCATCAGATTTGAGACTAAAATAAGCATCAGATTTGAGAAAATTAGTAATTGATTGGCTCCAAAAAATTTTTTAGATATAAATTAGGTCGACAAAAGAGTTGGAATGTCGTCGCAGTCTTGCCTCGCATATTTAGAGTGAAATAATTTTTTATTAACAACAAAAAAGCTTGCCATGCTTGAAGTGAAATAATTTTTCGTGAATTGAGCAATTGCTGTTAAATTTTTTGTTTTAAATGTCAAGTTTTTCGTTGTTATTTGTTCGATCCTTGTAGTTTTTCGGTTAAATTAATTAAGAATTTGGGTGAGTGCTTACATGCTAAACTTGGGTTGTTGGCTGCGTTGTACCAATTAGAAGCAGCGGAGGGCTGATGCCTTGCGAACGCATCGAACGCATGTATAGCCGAAGCGCCTGACCCGAAGCTCTGATCCATAATTGCTCCTGAGGCGTTCGCGCCCGGAAACGAACCATGGTTCACTCCAGAGTGGACGGAGGCGCCTCCCGACATGCCTGCTCCTCCGCAACCGGTGGGCGAGGAACTGTACATGGCGTTCATTGCTGAGGGTATCATACCTGAAAAGTTACACAAAAACTAAGATTTTTTAGGGCGATTAGAATTTTGACAGCGCTTTTGGTTGCTACACAAGATGACTTTCTAGTTAAATTTTTCTTGTCTCGGAAATTAAACTAAAGATTCAATTTTTTAAATTACAAAAAATGATATGCTCTTGATCATATTAAAAATCAAATTTTAATAAAATTTGTGATATCAAAAAATTGGACATTTTCGTGATGATTGGTTTTATAGTAAGTAGCAAAAAATTGTAACTGACAATTAAGTATCGCAATCTCCTAGTTTAAAGTAAGTTTACGTGCAATTTAGAATTTTAGGCGAACTCGAGGCATACTTTCTGTCAGAAAAGTTAGCTTTTGCATGCAAAAATTGTCTTAAATAGGTCATTTGCTCTATAAATATTTTTGTCTGCTCCAACTTTTTACAACTCTCTATAGCGTTGGTTTCATGATTGTATCAAGTGCTAAAAGGGATGATATTAAAAATATGACTTGGAGTGAAATGTTTGAATATCAAAAAAGTTGGACATTATTATTTTGTGATCAGTTGGTTGTCGTTGATTTCTTGGTTTGCCCTTTGACCCTACCTGCAGCTACTTGTTGCATATATGATGGAGTAGGGTAGTTGAATGAAGATGGATTGGAGGGGTACTGCATGGCGGCTCCTGCTGAAGAGTTCCCCCCGCCTGCCCCCATGAAGTTGGGCATGGAATTGAAGTTCCAGTTGTTTCCTCCAGACTCCATTCTTTAACTGTCTTCTCGGATTGATTCGTGACTCCTCGTCGTTCAGTTTGTTTTCCTCTTCTCGAATTTCAAGTTGAACAATTTTTTTTTCGTTCTTGAGTTAATTTTGTAGTAAAATGTTGAAGTTTTTTGAAAATTTGTATAATCGATTTGTTTTATCTGCAATTTGAGTTTTCGATAGTTTTGAAATGCGTTTCAAATTTAGAATTTCTTGACAACTTTCTGTGTTCTACACAGTCTTGTTATTACTAATCATCAATTCAATGGTGTGTGTGTGGAATGATTTTTTTCGCAACTGGAATCTAAGAAATCAAGTGATGTCGAGGAGCTACACGGATACCTTGCGAATGTCGAATGGATGTTATGAATAGTCCTGAATTGTTTTATTATGTGATAATAATCTAGTTAGTGATTTGGATTATTGTTTTTTTTTCTGTTTCTCACTTGAAGCTGGAGGAGGTTGCGTGGTTGATGGTAACTCTCAGCCGAGTGGTTTGCGATAGTTTTCGAATGGCTTTCGTATCTGTTGATTTGTTAGATTGTGATGATTTGATTTGCAATTGTAAAGTAGTGCTAGTTTACGCGTAAAGGTGCTAAAAATGAATTGCTTATATAATTTATACGATTAGAATGAATTGACCAGCAAGTGTGGCTCTGTAATTAACTTTTCAACAGAAGTCTTAGAACAGTACAATCGGTTTAATTGCTTCACTTCGCGATTTTTCACGACAAAAAGTCTTACCGCCGCGCTGCTCAGCCAAAATTTTAATTGAGTCTCTTTAAATCACTCACATTTTCGCACTTTTCGTGTTATAACTAGTTAAAAACTGCTGAATTGATAGCACGTAGTGCGCCGATAAACTTCTTTTTTATTAATTGTCTTGAAAGAGCAACCAACTAACAATGTTTTATGAGCCGGAATCGCTCTCGCTCGCTCAACTATGTTTTGTGTAGTATTTGTATACTTTTAATCGGTGCGGAACATCGCACAAGCACCTGCGCAGTTCAGGTGTATTTATTGGTTGAACAATGTTAATTCCAATCTAATTAAAAGTTCACATGTTCAGGTGTCAAGAGCCAATTATCGCCATTTGATAATTAGCGCTGATTGCTTTTGTTAATTGTTTCGCTCAATAGCTTTGTGCCGCTCGAATCAATCACGCAGTTCACAGGTATTCGCCAGCCCAACTTCTAAACTTGTTCACGCTCCCATTACTGTCACTTACCAAACACTTTGGCAGCACTCGTGCGAAATTCGAGCACCCTTGAAGCGACCATCTCCAAACCCATAAGTTATTATCTATTGTATGCTTCATAGAATGAAAAGAGACTTTTATAGTGCATCTCAGTCTGACTTGAAGAGTCTTCATAGGGTACCTGAAACACAACACATAAACATCGTTGAAAACATCGTGCTAAAAGGAGTACCATTTGCTCAATCTTGGCTCAATGTAACGTTCCAAAGGGGCGAAAGGAGGCTTTTTGAGACGTTTTTTTAAAGTTTTAGCTGATGTTGAGATTCTAACGAAACAGTGTAATGAACCTATCGGTTGAAAATTTATTATAGGCGGAATCATAGGCGAATTAAGTGCCAATAGTTATATCATAATTAAAAAAGCTAAAATGAAAACATCACAAATTTTTCTGTAATTAAGTTGAATATCTGCCTTCAGGGGCGTATCTAGGATTTTCTCGAGGGGGGGGCGGACTTTCAAAAAATTTCGAAATTTTTGACGACCTTTTTTTAGGTCGACCAAATTGATTTTCTGAGCTCTCACAAAGCATTGAAAAGACCCTGTTTTGGTCAAGTTTTCACTGCAGGCAAATTTTAGTATATATTGGCGCCGAAGGTTGAAGGGTCCGTCAACCAAAAATGGATATCCCAAAATAGTACAAAGGGACCCTTTGGGTCGGCAGGGGGTCGAATCCAACAAGAAAGGCGTCCAACCCCCAAGCCCCCCCCCCCCTAAATCCGCTGGTGTCTGCCTTCCATCATAATTGCGTGAGCTCAGTTTAAAAAAATCTGTTTCATTTTTACAATAGTCTGCTTGAATTTTACTATTTTATTAGACGGAAAAAATGGAATTTTGAGTCTGTTTATTGGGAAAATGTCGCGTGTTGAAGTAGGTCAATAAACGTGACAGTATTTGAGGCTTGTTAAGGGGGAAGCGGTCTCGATTAGCTTTGAATAATTTAATTTCCCCTGCTGCCAATTCGGAACCTCCGCTTTGGACTTTTCCAATTAAGTCGGCAGTATTCTTCATTCATTCACGTCACTGGAGCTTCTCATCTGCTGAATTTGAACTCCATAAATCCACTTTGAGCAAAGGTGTCTTCATTTACATAAATAAATTGGCCCCCATTCCAATTCAAATTAGCCTCCGCCCAACTTTGTCGTGTATATTCAGAAAACTAATTATGAAAAGAAATCTCAAATCCAAAAAGTAGATAGAAAGAAAGAAAGAAAGAAAGAATGAATTTCTCCAGAATATGAAAACATCAAATTTTAAATATACAACATAACAGATTCTGAGACTTGGAGATGACAGATAACGGGATCCTAGGATCCACCACGGATCTGCCAATATGTTTTTTTTTTTTTTTTTTTTTTTTTTTTTTTTAAATTTTAAGTTTTTTTTTATGTTTCGGTAGAAAACTAGATAGATGCTCTCAACTTCAAAAAATGTCAGTTGACTTGAAGATGAAGGAAAAACAAGACATCATTTGGGTTTTATAGGGTCATACTTAAGCGTACCGGATCCTCTTGACAAAGTTTTCTGTAAAGCTTCGATCGCCCTTAATCAATGTAGTATAACTTGAATGATCTCGTTAAATACAGGTTATTGATTTCAAATAATCATATTGAATGGTTACTATCACATCATAATATCGGGAACCTTGGATTGATTTTTATCGCTGTTGGGTTCCTGGCCTGCGTTAACGTTCCTGATATTCGGTGCAATTTTTTGCGTTTTTTTTCGAAGCAATTTTTGTCCATGGTTGGTGTAATTTTCTTTGCGTTTTAGGGCAATGACCAGAACAGATTTGAGCTGGCGGCATATGCTCTGAACCCGGACGTGAAGGTGGTGGCCCCCTGGAGAATGCCGGAGTTCTTCAACCGGTTCCAGGGCAGACTGGACCTGATGAAATATGCGGGGGAGAAGGGCATCCCGGTGGACTCCACTCCATCGGAGCCATACTCAATCGACGACAACATAATGCACATCAGGTACATACAGAGGCTGTTCATTCATTTGTTTAAGTAGTCGTGGCCGAGTGGAGTAAGGCAGGCGTCGCTCAACACAAGAGTCGTGCGTTCTAATCCCACTTCGGTCATGGTTGGAGGGGTCCCAGTGTCACCCGCCTTCTGAAGGTGGAGCTGGCTGCGGCGAAATGGATGAGATCCCCCCTCCCCTACTCTTGGTCCCGCATTGAATAGGACCGGGGGCAATTACACAAATGACACAGTAGTTTAAATAAAAGTTCAGTAGTTTCGATTTAATTTACCTTATATTTAAATGTATCTATCACGTATCTCGCCATGTTTCAGCTTCATCAATGTGGTTTAAGCAGAGACTTATCTCGCCATTGCTAAACGATGTTCTTTGCCTAATTTTTTTTTATATTGAAATCTTATAATATTGTTAGTCCAATCGGAGTCCAAGATTAGGTCCCTGATGGAGGTTCTCAATGTCATGCGCCTCCTCGAAATCACCCCCCGTGTGGCCCTACAGGGAGTAGGGCTGACGGCTAATACGCAAGGATAGCTTGTTACTGTGCAAGTTGAACATTTGACCAAATTGATTTGAGAAAGAAATCCAAAAAAAAAATTTTTAAGAAAATCGTTTTTTTGCAAATTTTTCTGTCTGATATTCCTGTTTTTTTTTTGTGAAAAATGCGATTCAATTCGGAGAAAAATGCTTGAAAGAGAGGTAACTTTAATTAAAATGACGTTAAAATAGCGTCAAAATTTAGTTTAATTAATCATGGGAGGTCAACCTCTCAGCAATTTTCGTTTAATTTATTCTGAAAATCCAAAATATTCAGATAACTTTTCTTGACAATGGAACTTTTTTTTAGAATCATGACCAATACGGCTTTAATATAAAAACCATGATGAATAATGAACAATAGGGCTTTAATATAAAACTTTTGACACCCTAAGAGTTTCATTGAGGTAGTAAAAATAAGATGGCAAAATTTTAAATATCTACCCTAATCTATTATTTTTTTCCACTCTTCGAGAGTTGCCGAAAACAAAGATTTTCTATAAATCAAAGGAGTGTGAATAAACCAGGCGGCTCATCGTATAACGAAGCGAGAATGAGCAGAACACGTTAACCAGCCGAAAGTAATTTGAATTGAAATTTTACATGACTTATTGAACTGATACATATTATTATCGTTATTATCGTAATAACATACATACATGTTATTAATTAATGGTCTATTTTTTTTTGCTGGTTTATACGGTAGCTGGTTTTTGCTGGGTTATACAACACCAAAAAGATCTTCGATCCAGTTGAAAACGATCGAATGAATGATCATCATTGGTCTCTGAATGTTATTATGAGCAGCTTATGGATGAAGATTTTTAAGTAGATCCAAATGATTTTTTATGGGATTGTTTCGTTACACGTCACAGTCTAAAAAGACGTGAAAAAATATGATGGGTAATTTGACCTCGTTGCGAAACAAAACAAGAAGTAATTTAAACCTTACTGCGTGAATTAAGCGTTAAAGCTCTTATTTTATGGCAAAGAATGAAATTAAAGGAGTTTCTATGTATTTTCGTGTGCTTTTCATGGCTACAAAATCAACTGCCTTTGAGAAAAATCATCTGAAAATTTGCTTTTCTTCTGCAATAAAAAATGGTTTGTTTTTAACCTGCTTGATTTTAAGAAGATCATTTTTTTTAACCAGCGGGTAGATTTAAAAACTGACTCTGGTTTGTTTTTAAATGAATGGTTTGTTTTTTTTACTCGGTTAATTTTCTCGCAAAGCTTTTAAGACCCTCCCTCATGTATACTTCTGATGTAGATTTGTGGCCATTACTGTTGATCGATTACTGTTTCTGTTTTGTTTCCCAGTTGAAAGTGGAATTCGAGGCGTGTTTTGAAGGTAATAATCACAACCTGATTTTCTGCCATTTAAGATTAGAATCAACCGTGTACGCAAGATTAGTCTTTCAGTCGAACTACATAATAAAAAACGCATTAGCAGCGTAAAAACGTATGGAACACGTATTAAATGCCATGTAAGATTAAGATTTGATAAAAAATTGTCGTCCTGAAAAGCTGATTAAATTTCATACCTACGTCTTAGCGTAGGATTTTGAATGGAATTGAAAACAATTATTGTAAATATGTTTTTTTTTGCTATAGAATCATGTTCTTAAAGAAAACTATGGATTTTTCTACGCAATTGTTTTTTGGACTCGTAAGGCTTGTTATCTTGTTTTTGAAGCAGCGAATTCAGCAATCACGATTTAAATCCAATTTTCAATGTTGCCGAATATCTTAACTACCTAAGTTTGTGGCTCTGCGTTTTCGAATTGGTGATTTAGATAAAGGAAGCTTTCACATCTATAAATAGAGTTCTAAGAAGCATTTTGTTCCGCTCTCGATTCACGATAATAATGGGAAGGAACTATGGCGTAAGTGTTCTTTTTTCGCCTGATTTAAGAACCCCTATGAAATTCACAGGGGGTCAACTGTGTCATTTTGAAGCCCTATTGGCCATGATTCAGATTATAAGTTTTTAAAGGAAATCACCAATATCGAGAATGGTTTCGTATTTTAAATCTGCTGTTCAAACTTTGCACCTTGAAAAGAGCTACCGAATTTGGAGTCAATTTTTGAACATTTTTTAGCCATGAAAATTGATCGGAAAATTTTGTAATACTTACACAGAAACAGGTTTTGCCCTTGTTTATTTTGGAATCTTTTGACCGTAGCTTTAGCATGCACTATCGCATATTTTTGGCTCTATGAATTTTTTATCAGGCTCTTTGAAAAATGTTCATCATGACTCAGCAAATGGCTCTAAACTTAAATAAGGGATCTACTTAACAATCTCCCTTTCGAGAAAGGGGGAGATTGTTGAGTAGATTTAGTTCGTGAATTTGTCGACTAATCAGACTGGAGCAAAATTAGAATTCTCTACAGAAAGCTCGGTGCTAGTTCTGGAAAGTTAAAGTATCCAAAAATCTGTATAAAAGAATTTTTTTTTGGTTGACAGTCAAAAAAGGTCATTTTTACTATATAAAAATCAAAATCCTTGGCCAAAAACAATTGTCAAACGTTTTACTCAAGTTTTTGGAAATTTCATTTTCCCAGATTTTTGTTGGTCTATGTAAGCAAACTTTTGGAAATTTCATTCTTCTAGATTTCTGTTGGGCTACAATTTTCTTATCAATTCACTTGGTAGTTTCAGCGTAATTCTTGATTAATAAAAAAATCCAAGTGGTAAAATTTTGGTTAAGGATTTAGGGGAAAAAATTGCACTAATAATTCAGGTGAAAATCTAAGCAACTTTTGTTCTTCACTTTTTGTCTAATCCAATTTGAGAAAAGCCGGTTGGAAATTTAAAATGTTGTTCGTGTCCGGTTATTTTAAATCACTATAATTTACTGTATTTATTTAAAGGGCTTGAGATTCTTTAATAGATATCATAAGAAGGAGAAGAATATCAAGTAGATCCGTTTTAAGTTCATGGGTTGATTTTTTAAAGAGTCGATGAGAGTTGTTCAGACTCTTATTTAGGTCGCGATGATTTTTTTCGGTTTTTTTTTATTCAGGAAGTCTTATAATTTGTTCAGGCTCAAATTTACTTTTTTGCTGTTTGACTTGTGATAGCTTTTTAAGGTCAGGTTCATTTTTTTGTTAAAAGGAAGACAAACTATAGTAACGAACAGCGAAAGTGTAAAGGTCACGAAAAACGTGATTTCGAAATTGGAATTTAATTATCAGATTTACCAGCGAACTCAAAACTTTACTTATTGATCCTCCTTTCTCAAATTTGGTTACTTTTACCAAAAAAGTGCCAATGATAAATTGCTCCAGATATTCAAAGAGCTTTAAGGGCATCTGTTTTTTTTTGAAATTTGAAAGTTGAGATTTTTCCAAAAAACAAGTCCGCATTTTTTTTCTGTTAACTTGCGTTCAGTGACACTCTTTTCCAACTGTCGGTCAGTTAGATTTAATAAGTTCTAGGGCCAAAAAAAATTCGGGCTTGGTTTTGAGATCAACCAGAAGAAATTTGTGGCAGAATATTGACAATTTTACTTTAAGCCAGAAACTCATAACCATCCCTGTATGAAATTGTAAATTTACAACTTAGTTCGGCTTGGAAGAATACCAAAAGGCATCAGCCTGTCGCGTGGCATTTGCAATTGGAATGCTTCACTTAATTACAAAGCTATCTTTGGTAAAATCTCATAAATAAAAGGCGATTCGATGATACTCTTCAGAGAAGGGTCAATAGATGACTTAAGTTAGGGTGGATTAACTTCCGAAGAAGCATGGAGTGATGCCACTAATCTCCCTGGCTTTATCTGGCCGAAGACATTAAAGAGAACCTTATCTACCCTCCCTCAGATACTATTTCTTCTACCCCCGTGATTCGAACCAAAAAGGAAGCTTCCCCGTCGCCGGCACAGGAAGCGACATCACGGCGGAGTCTTGAATTGTGAATGTTATCGCACCGCAAGAACCCCCTACCAACCTCGAGTTTAATTCATTCACGCGTTTTCAGGTTGAAGATTAAGCCCTGAATTAGGGACTGACTAGCTTTCTACCTGAACGTTGATGTAGCTTATCTAAAGGGGGCAAGTTTAATGGTAAAAAAGGGCAATGAGACGAATGTACAATAGGCAGAAATTTGATTTCACAAATAAAATTTTATGATTTTAGAAATGAAAGACGGCTGAAACTAAATCTAAAGCGCATTTACAGAATTAAGCTAAAAATTAAATCACAGTTGCGTAATTCATTTGAAACAAAAAGTTATTAATTTCTGCTGTTTATGAATTCGTATTTTTGGGCTATTTACGGGTGCGTGGAATGATAGGAATTGTTCATCAACTTGCTTGCAGTCAATTTATGCCAGCTTTCTTTTGATCCCACAGAGCTATATCAAGATTAGAGAGACATCTTGCCCCCCTCAGAATTTCAACCTGATCAAAAGACACCATAGGGCCAAATTTGCATAATTCTCAGCGCATGTTTTCAACAACTGCACCCTGAATAAAATATAGTGTTTTGCAATCAAGACTTTTTATCTTTTTTTTCTATCATGCTTAGCTTTCGGTTGAGAAGAAGTTTCTAGACTGTAATTGCTATTTGATTTAGTTGGAAACTCCACCCTCCAAAAGTGTCGCTTTTTTTAAGTCTTTTAGCCTTTTGCGCTAATCGCTGTTTAGCATTGTAGCCCTGGGACCGATGTTGTGACGTATCTACTATCACTTAAATATCACTTGAGGGGAGAAATAGGCTACGCATAAAATGAAGTCGAGGGATTTGGGCTGTAATCTATCTTTAATGCCAGTTGATGAGTTTTTGGTTTAGATGGAATATACTGATTTAGTTTCTAAGATGGTCAGAATATATGAGGGGCTAAATATATAGATCGCTAAAATAGCTAGGTCAGATCACCCGTACAATCTCTTGAACCCCCCTCCCCCTCCACTGAGAGACCTACCATAGATTGTCCTCGCCAAGCATGTATTAATTTTGAAAATTGATTACGCATAAAATATTCATTTCAATCAAGCGTGATTAATATACTGCTGGATTTTTTTTACCGAATAGCTGTTTCATCCTGTTATTAGCGTAGTAAATCATAATTTGGTATCGGTTGATTTTTTTTTTGACTAATTAGATCAATTTATTTTGCCATCGTAGTCAAATTTTGAAAAACGGGATTTTTTATCCCCCCTTAATCGATTTGGGTAACAAATTGTACGATTGATCCGCTCGGTCTTTCGAGCGTATTGGTGGTATATTCGACCCTCCATGATCCGTGCTCCTTGACTGAACTCAGAAAACTGCCATACACGTGCAGTATGGCAGTTTTCTGATTTCAGTCAAGGAAAAAATGCAAAGTTTGTTGGTTTTAACAAGAAACTAGATTTTATGTTTTTTGCCCTGCTAAACTAAAGGGCAATCTTTTGATGCTTCTCTTGAAATGTAAGGGGGTCTTTTTTAGTTCTCATCGGTATGAAAGTAAACAGATCTTTCAAACTTCAATTATCAGTTAAAACTTCAAGAAGAAAGTAAATACTGTACAAGCATCGAAAGTAAACAATCACTATTTCTATCTTAGTCATAATTTTTTCCCAAAGGTTCCTCATTTGAATTCCTCATGTATTTGGCGAGGTATGGATACAACATGCCATTTTAACGGTCTTTTTTTAAACAAAAATGTATCATGTTTCCTAATTTGAAGTGAAGTGTTTGATTTTGCAGTATGGAATCTGGGCCTCTAGAAGATCCCAAAGTAAGTGATCGCTCCAAAAATGAATTGTGAGCGTCTTTTAGTTGGACTACAAGTCTGTTTTACTCTCTGCTTATTAAAGTGTAGTGGTGTACCTATGTACATAGTTCAATTGCTTTGTATGGGAGAGGGTTTTTGCTTGGTAACTTATTTTCGAATCATCACCTTAACTAAAGATCGCTATTTACCAAGAAGCTGCCACCAGTTTTGAAATCATCTTTGCTATGCTAATTAATAAAGAGCTTCTTAGTTCAGTTAGCTGAATAATAAATATTTTAAAAAAATGCCCTGCAGATAATATGGCAGTGGATTATTGGATTATGAGAGCAAAACTTTTTGAAATGTGTAGAATGCATTAGAATTATTGAATAAAATATCTTATCCTTCTTAGCATGGAATCCGGAATACTAGAAAAACCCCATGTAAGTGCATGATAACCAATTCAATTATACTCACAAATACTTGAGTGGAATAACCTTCTTATTAATGGTCTCACGCAGTAGCGAATTGAGAGGGAGGGGGTGGATTTTTGGATAAATATATAGTTTTCAGAACAAAACGAAAACCATATATTTGTAACGAAAAAACAAAAACACGAATTTTTGCAATATTTAATTGAATTTAGCTAAAATGAACGGTTTTCTGAAAAATTACAATGAACTTTTAATCGTATAAAGGTATCTTTTTTATTAACTAATATGCTGTTTGCTTGCGCTTGACTTCCGTTCTGTATGCTTCGTTTTTACCTAACGAAACTGTTTTTGATTGGGTTTTGAGAACATTATTTTGTTTAGGAAGAGCCCCCGCTTTCCACATACAGATACACGACGAATCCCCTTGAGGCGCCGGACAAACCGACCAAATTAGAGATCGAGTTCTCACAAGGTATGAGTATTGGAACAGATAATTCGCTTAACTTGTTTAAGTCTTAACGTAGTTCAGACTCTTATATAGGTCGCGATAATTTTTTTATTAGTTTTTTTTTCAGGAAAAGTCTGAAAATTAATTCAGGCTCTAATTTTTTTTCGCGGTTCGTTTTTTTGATATCTTTTCAAGTTCAGTTCATTTACTTAGTTAAAAGGAAAGTAATCTCCACTATTGAACAGCGAAAGTGTAAAAGTCACAAAAACGTGATCGATTTCTAGTTTCATAAGTGGAATCTTGTTAATTTTATCAAAAAAGTGACCAATAAATTGCTCTAGAAATTCAAAAAGTTTTAAGGGCATCTTTTTTCTTTAAAATTCGAAAGTTGAGATTTTATCAAAACAAGTGGCATTTTTTTCTGTTTACTTCCGCTCATTGACTCGTTTTCCAATGGCTGTTGCCTATGTTAATTATTTTTGTTTTAAGAGTCGATGAACGTAGTGAAGTCTCTTATTAAGGTCGCGATGATCTTATTAACGTCGCGATATTAAAGGTCGTAGTTTTTTCAAGAAAAGGCTTAAAATTTGTTCAGGCTTAATTTTGATATTTCGTGGTGTGGCTTTTGATTTTATTGTAAGTTCAGTTCATTTCGGACAGCAAAAAAGTAAAGGTCACACAAAAAGGTCTTGTTTCCAAAGTGGATTTTAATTTTCAAATTTGCCAAACCAGTTTTACCAAATTGGATTATTTTTATATAAAAAAGGTCAGATGATAAATTGTTGGTCTAAATTGACTTCCCAGGGCCTTCTTTACAAAAGTGGGAAAACTAAACATGAAGATTTTCAAAGTTTTCTCGAAAATTTTTTTTAAGGCTAAAAGAAAAAAAAATTTAAGATTGAAAGATTTAAAACGAATAATACACATTAAGAATTTGAATTGTTTTTAGGGAAGTTTATCATTTTCAGCTGGTTTTTGTATTTTTTAGAATTGTTTTGAGCTTTTTAGGTGAAGCATGTTGTTTTTTGATATCATTTATTCTGATTTTTGAAAATGAAAATTTTGGTTTTTGAACATCCTAGTATTATTTGAAAAATAAATCAGAATAAGTTTTTATTATCAGTGTGCAATTTAAAAATGATTTTTTTGCGTGTTTCAAAAAATTTGATGTGCAGGTTTAAAATCTCAGTTGGATTCAAACTGATATTCTTGCTTGGATAATTACACTAGCGATCAGCGAAGTGTGTTATTACGAACAATTTTTTTATAACGTAACTCTTGCAAATAACCCAGAAGCATATCAGAGGGTTGAAGATTGGGCTGGAGTCGGAAATGAGGTTTGCCCGTGAGTGAAGCCTATAGTTTGCCAGTGAACGGAAAATTCCTAGTGGGATCATCCATGGCTAACCTCTGTGGAAGCCACTACCCACTATACATGGCGATGGTGGAGGAATCCAGCCAGAGGATACTAATCGACAAAGCCTTCTCGGTACCCAAGTGCGTACGCCTCCTCGAATGTCGCATCACTCGCACAGACTGTTGAGAAAGATCCTGTGGACTGTACCGGGGGAACAAAGAGATGACTTGAGTAGATCTGGGGGGAAGAACTTTGGGGTCTTGAAGGTGAGAACACGAGAGACTTCGAGAGACAGAACACGATCGGGAAGCCGATGAACAGTACCCCAGCCCTGGAGGAGATTGATGTGACACACAAAAAGATGATGGAGCTGGAACCTCTGCTGGAAGCATCGGGAGAACGCAACCTCCGGAGTATAAAACTCACACATGGGGATTGCCCGTGCCACTGTCTGGCACAAAAGGTTTGGTATCCGGAGCACGCAAACCTCTGCTTGATATGAGACGTGGAGGTAGTTCGGTCAATGGGATTGTCCGATCATCGGCAGAAGTTGAACCTATTGGTAGTGAGTTCAATGCTGGCATTGTGATGGATGGAAGAAAACGTGACGAAATATCGGGAGTCGAAGGCACCGACAGCGGAATCGATACACGCTATTGATTACAGCAGGAGGCTTGAGTTTTTTGAGACTGCGTGCAAAGTATTCGCTATACCAATGGAGGTCAGGCACGTGTGGTGCCGCATAAGATTCTTCCCATGGTTTCGAGCGACTTTGACGTCTTGCTTATACGTGGTGACGAAGGATCAAATTAAAAAGCATCAGAAAGAATATCGACCGTTCCTGGCTGAGATAGGGCCGGGAGCCTTCAAAAGACATTTGCTGACCCATCGTAATGCAATCAAAACGGGTTGGAAAAGAGTTGGTAGGGTGTCTAGAGATAATACCAAGGGAGTCTATATTGGAAGAGGACTTACCGAAGAACGTGAGCTTGAGCCTGCATAACTCTTTTTGTCTGAACAGGGAATCTAAAGTGAAGGGTTTGCCGAACCAGGCGAAGAGATTGCAATAGCAGAGGCAGTGGATGCGATCCTACGAACAACTAAAGGCTTGGGAAGAGATCGTGATCAGCTCCGACGATGAGGAAGCGCTGCTGAGGCAGATCACAGTGTCGAATGCATCAGGGCCTAGCACCTCAAGAGCTAGGAGCACGAAATGAGCAGGAAGCTCAGTGTCGGTTTCTTGAGTCTTGGGAAGGAAAGAAAAGGGGCTTGAGTTTGAACTCGGATAAAATTTGAGGTCACGGAAAAGAAATTTTTAATGAAACAAAGTATTGTTATTAATATGCTATATCTATTATATGAATCAAAATGCTGCATGAAAATTTTCTGATTGGATAAGACAAAGGAAATTTTAATCATTAGATTGCAAAGCGGAAATTTAGGGTGCAGGTGTATGCAGATTTTGATTGCTGTTTAGCGATAATGTGACAATTTTGCATGGTTACGAATTTTGGGGTGTAGATAAAGTTAAATCTGCTGCAAACTTCTGTAAATGACCACTGGCACTGTATCTTGAGCAACACTCATTATTCTGGCGGCTCACTGGCAGACGGCGACACGCGATGAGGACATCGATCTTGAGTCCGGGGAGTATGTGCCAGTCGGTCATATTTGGAATTTTGACCTTGAGCAACGCAAGAAACATGATTTTGGTGTGAAATGGAATTTTTCAAAAATACGAATTGAGCATGTCATGCTCAAGTTTCTCGCGACAACATAAGACATAGATCAGAAGTGGACCAGAGTGAACCTTCGGTGGAAAGGTGGACAAGCGAAGTCTCCCAATGTTCCAGAACTAAAACTTGTTTCTTGAGCTAAAACTGACTTATTCAAAACTTCTTAAGTTAAACTTGATTACCCATTTATGCTAGAGTTACTGGTTAACTTAGTTACTCCAATTATAGAGTGTGCAGGTATGTGAGTACCCAATTTAAATTTCTTGTGTGTTTTATATTGTTATGTTGAGATAAGGAACGTTTTAGGTTGATCCATCAGAAATGGATCAAAGTTCCACTGTCTAATAAAGAGTAGCTATACGGATTGCTCCGACCCTGTTTTTAACGGCGTTCGCGTGTTTTAGGTATTTTGAGATCTAAGTATGGGGACGTTCTTATTTTCTAGAGTGGGGGGGAGTATTTTGGTAGTGGCCTTTAAGCTGTAACAAAGGTTTTAGTCTCATGTCGCAAGTGAACCGAATTGGCTCCGACTGTTTGAGGTAGAAAAACACGAGATAGTGTCCCGGACTCTTGAGCAAATGGTTATAGGGCCTATTTTTCTTTAACCTCATATGTGACTTAAGTGGGCGACTGTTACATTGCTCCGATGCTAATTTAACGTTCATTTGTTTGAAATGTAATTTTTTCATAAAATACACATTTTGAAAGACTAATCGAGACAACGAATTGAAAGTTTTGGTACATCTAGTATTTTCTCGCGATTTTTTTTCGACAGCTGCTTTCGTATTATTTTCTGCCAGCTAAGGTGTCACGCTATCTTTGTGGTTGTATCGCAAGTGGTGCGAAGCTCGGCTTCGCTTCTGTGTAATAAACTGACATAATCAGTGTTAGGTGGGATTTCTAAGCTATTTTGCTCATAGCATGATTTCTAGGATGTTGTAACTGACTTGAAAAGCCACATCTGCAAATTTTTGATAATTGTTTCAGTTAAAATGACGGAAACCAGCAGCAGCTTGAATGACGATGAGTTTTACCAGAAGCTCATGCAGCTGCGAGAAGAGCAAAAAGCGACGATGAAACAGTTAGAATCGCTCTATGCAGCTAAAATGGAAGCGCAGGGAACGGAAGTTGAAGTCACCGGCAGTGCTGAAAATCTAGAACTCCTGGCTGCTCAAAATATTCAAATATCAGACGCACGGTTAGCTGATTTGGAACGTGAGTACAGAGATCTATCTCTCGCAGACTTCCCAACCAACGACAATGCAGAGTCGCAAGACATAGACCATAATCAGAACGGATACTTCGAAAGAGTATCGGCAGATAGAATGTGGGATGGCGTAGCAATCACCGACTACATGAATCGGTTAGACTTGGAGCACGAAAGAAATTTAGATGACATTGAAATGACACTTAAAAGGCATCGAATGAATTCTCTTTCGAAGAAGACTGATGATTGGAAACCCTCGATCACAGTTCCGAAACCATTTAGTATGACCATCCGTGAGTACCAAAAGCCAAAAAAGAAGTCCAGATCACAGCAAATTTTCGAACTAGAACAGGAACAAAAACGACTCTCCGAAATGAAGGAGCTGACTAAAAAGTTCAAAGCAAACCCAATTCCGGGCCACACGTTTCTGCCTCTCTACGAAACAATGCAAGATAAAGACAAAAATGTCAGATCTAGCTCGAAAGAAAAGCGAAAGTCTGATCTCCAAAGCATGACAAAACCTTTCAAGTTCACTGACAGGGACAACGACTATGCTAGGATTTCGAAACTTTCGAAAAGCATCGATAAAATGATTGCCGACGAAAGCGAACGTCCGCCCCAGTTTAAGGCAAAACCAGTTCCTCGGAAGGTCTTAGATAAACCTAGTGTTACCGAAAAAATGCAGGAAGAGGAATTGTTTAGGCAAATGAGATGTAAATTGCGAGCACAGACTTTGCTGCGTCAAAGTAAGGCGCCAGTATCTTCACCAGAAGTTTCAAAAACTGCCATTAGAAAAAATAAAGAGGAACCTTCTGATTCGAGAAACTCTCTCCCAAGGAGATCTAGGAGCGCTTTGAGTCATTCGGTACCAGACTTCGACGCCCAGTATAAAAAATTTCTGAATGAAGCCGAGAAGATCCGAACTATGAAAGAATCCACTGTCTGTAAGCCATTTACAATGCGTACTGAGCAAAAACATTCAGCAAAGGTAGAAAAGTGCGTAAAAGCGGATCTGGATATTCGAAGTCGACCATTGTCTGGACGTGCAGCCCTGAGTCCAGCTCAATCAGGCGCTCCGATTGGCAAGCACAAAACTTATAAAAGCGACACAATTCCGCCCAAGATAACCAAATCTTTCGAACTGATGGCTTCGAAGAATCGCGAAAAGTTGAGCGAGTCGGCCCGAGAATCTAAATTGAACGAATACGAGGCGAAGAAGAAGAAAGCTAAAGAACAGGCTTTAAGAAAGCACATTGCCATGAAAGCTGCTGCGAATGATAACAGATTGCTTCTTGAAGAAACCAGAGCACGCAAGGTTCAAGAGTTTCGAGAGCAGCAACGCGAATTGGAAATGGAGTACCAACAAAAGTTGGCAAGTATGTCTGATCGTCTAGAAAATAGGCAGCTTCTGTTTGAGAGGGCGTCTGAAATCAATGCGAAGAAAGAAGCGGATAAAAGATACATAGAAACGCTGAGGAATGCAGGGATTGATGATGACTTGTTCAACAGTATCACGTCAGCTGGCAGAGGGTCATCTTATGACCTGAAGGTCGAAGACTTCAATGACAGTTTGGTCGATGAAAATTTGGACGATTCATATGCTAGTGATTTCGACAGTTCCGATAAGCTAACACCTGAGCACTAGTCCTTGTAATGAATTCCTAATAGATTTCAAGTCAACTCTTTGAGTTATTTTTCTCCTATACTATTTTTAAGTTGCTTCACAACATTGAATTTCATTGAAGTTGACCTGGTTATAGGGAGAATTTTAATTCCAATTCAATTTGATCAAAGATATCTGTAAATAGCTATGTACGTATGTAAAAAGTTTAATTTCATAATTGGTTTTTTAAAAATTTTATCCTTACGTTGCCTTGAGTGTCGTGGTACATCAAAATACGTGTACCCCATTATGTGAGAGAAATCATAACGTTAAATAGCATAGGAATAGGTCTATTAAAATGAGTCAAATACTACTTAAAATAAAACAAAAATGAGCAAGAACCTGTTGTTCTCCGTTTCCTTAATCCTGCTATCAGCTTAGTGTGTTATTACGAACCTTGTTTTTTTCTAAATTAACTCGCAAATAAAACTGTTCAATTATTTGGAAATTTCACTGTGGCATTGGAAACTGCATAGAATCTTTTCTCTGCTTTATTTGTGGCTAGTATTTGATGCCTGTTACGCGTCCGTGGCTGAGTGGTTAGTGCGTGAGACACATAATCTCTAGGTCGCTGGTTCGAACCCGAGACTTAGCCGAATTTCTGTCTCTTTTCCACTTTTCCCCCCATATTTCAAATTTTTTATTTTTCAATTGTCTTACGTGTTATCATGGCCGAACTCGTGATGTTACGAAGCACGGTATGAAAAACAAATCAAATTGGAAAATAGCTGAATTTTTTTAAACTATCTCTAGCCTTAATTCTAATTTACCTTATTGCGTTTTATAAAGCTGTTTTTTGTCATGTTCTTGCTAGTGTTTGCGAAGTTTCGCCGAAGTTTATAAAAAATGTTATTGCAACAATTTTCCAATCTGATTTTAAAATTCATTCTTTTTCATTTTTCCTCTGCAAGTGCTCTACTTCGCCTCTGTGTGAAAGCCTCTTGCCGTGGAATCTGAGCTGACCAAAAAGACACATAATAGTCCGAAAATTGAACTCAATTAGATCAATAAAATTGAAAATTTCAATTTTAATAGAAAAGTGTAAGTACCGCCCTCTTTTGATTCCCAGGTTTTTTGCTTTACAAACATTGACATTACCCCTTTGCCAAATGGGAAAAACAGTTTAGGAACGAAGTTTATTTTACAAAAAAAAACAAGATGATGTGCAAATTCTGTGAACAAAATCTTAACGGAAAAAAGTTGCAATACCTAAAACACAGTTGCAATACCTCTGCGAATCGCAAGAGCGACAACTGTTAATTTTATTTTTATCTCAACTGTTAATTTAATTTCACTCAAATTATACTGAACTTGAAAAAAAGTCAAACTGCCGAAAATCAAATTTGAGTGTTATCAAACTTTCAGTATATTTTAAGGCAAACTTCCTTATCGAACAGAAAAAGTGTAAAGGTCACGAAAAACGTGATCGGATTTTAGTTTCGAAAGTGGAAATTAATTATCAGATTTCTCAGCGGAATAAAATTTGTACGTATTGATCCAGTTTTCTCAAATTAAGTTAATTTAATGAAAAATTTTTCATTTTTTTCCTACTGTCAGTTGGCTATATTTCTTTTTTTATTATTTTAAATGAGTGTTAACAGGTATTCCGATCAAAGTGGTTAATTTGGCAGAACCAGAGAAGGTTTACGACAAGCCTCTGGATCTGTTCATGTATTTGAATGAAGTGGGCGGCAAGAACGCAATCGGAAGGGTGGACATCGTCGAAAACAGATTCATCGGCATGAAATCCAGGGGTGAGTGTTCCGGGGTGTAGCGATGAGCATGTGTGCCGATTAGCATAGGATAATTACTTTGATTAGATGTTCAACCTGACGAAAAGCAAATTAGCATAAATTTTAATAAAGGTCTAAAATTAAATTTTCATTTTCGACCAATCAAATATTCGGCGAAGTGCACGCTAGTCAGAATTGAATACTTGAGTGAAAAAACTGAAATAGTTTGCGATTCAGCTGCATTCTTTCACATAGGTACACCTGCTAATAGGCCGGTACCCGTATTCAAGTGGCAAGAATTCTTTCATAGTTTACTGACTCCGAATAAATAAGACTATTCTGAATATTTCGAAAAAAAACATGAAAGTTTACATGCAGCTCCCATATATGTGATTATCTTTTCGTTGTTCTCCTAAAACAGTTTTTCTTTAAAGTGCTCTCCAAAAGAAAAACAGTTTTTAGAAATCGGATTTAGAGGAGGATTAAAATTAATCTTTAAATGTTTATACCGCAAAAAGTATTTCATTGGCTTAACGTTTTCCATGTTTCTTGTGTGATGCACAGTAGAATGTTTTTCCCCTTATTTTCAGTCTGAATTCAAACTTTTAAGGTAGACTGTTGTCAAATCAGTTGACAAAATTTGATCGCTTAGTGCCATATTACAAGGCTGAAGGTAAAGATGTGTAATGAAAAAATGTTAATCAAACAGTGCTTATCAACGTTCGTTTTAAACTAGACTGACTTAGATCAAAAAAGTTTGACGTCTGTCTAGAGAGCTGTGTAAGGCTAAAATAGAGGAAGTTATCGTAATTTAGTCAACTACATCAATTGTTAAGCAATAGAAAGAAATATTATCCCAGAAAATTTGAAAAATTCCGATGGATTTAAGACACATTAGGTAACCACATATCGAAAGTTTAAATTGGGTCCAGATATTATAGTGAGTGCAATTGTAACTTAGACTTATTTTGTAACTAGTTTATCTACTAAAACATTTGTGGTTTTTTCAATGTCTAGCTTGTAAAAGCTTGCCGTATTTGGCATCCAGATAGAAAGGGAGCTTTATGGTGCTTTAGAATTGATACGGAATATTTCGCTATTTTTTGTGGAAAAGTGGTTAGTGCCTTCGACCTTCCATCAGCAGTTTGGGGCTTCGAGGCGCAAATCAAGAGGTCCTCAATTCCTGATTGAGGAAACATTTTGTGCGACAAAGAATTGAAATTTCGACCATATTTTCAGTAAATGGGTTGACAGTGTTTAACAGCATTGACTTGAACTGGTTATACGTTGTTCCAGGTTTTTCGCGCTGAAAAAGTGCTGACTACTTCAGTAGTGTTTTTTTTCATGTAGTTATTGTCGAAATTTAATTTAACTGTATTTTAATGGCTATGAAGATTCAAGACATGCAGCAGTTAATTTTGACCAAAACAATACACAAATCTAGTTTTGAAAATGAAAAAACTTCGAAAAAGATCTTTTTTTCTAAGAAAAATGCTGTGACGAAGACAAACTATACCTTTTTAAGACACTTATATTTTCGTGTGTGTGTGTGGAATCCACAGAGGGACTTAAAATCGGTCGAAATTCAACTGACTAATCCAACTATCAAATTGTTGTTGAATCCACTTGCAAATACTTGATACTTCAAGTGTTTTTAAAACTCTTTTAACGCGTTTGTGTTTGCTGCTAGGAGTGTACGAGACACCTGCAGCCACTATTCTGTACCATGCGCACTTGGACCTGGAACTGTTCTGTGTGGACAAAGAAGTCTACAGGATCAAGTCTTTCCTCAGTGCCAAATTCGCCGAACAGGTCTATAACGGTGAGTAGTTGGAATTCTTGCACAAAAAATCAAAAACAAATCCAAAAAACTCGAAACCCACAGGGATATGTTTTGCGTATTTACACAAGCAAAGCTTGTGTTATAGTATGAACTTTCTGTTTTTTTTTCAACCTAATTTTGTTGCGACGCAAATATTGTTGCGACAAAATGTTTTCACTTTGAAAGTGTTCATTTTGATCAATAACCAGCTATTAAGTTAAGCCAATGCTGGCCAATAAAAACACATATATGTACAAATAGCATTTAATTAATATTATATTACAAATAGCACTTTAGCTTCAAGGTATCATGGATCTGTAGCGTAGAGGTAATGAATGAGACCAGCAATAAAAAAGGGGGTTCGAACCTGGGCTGGGTTGATTTTTTAATGAACTTTTTCGTATACTAGCTAAAATGCATCCACCATATAATTTGAGGCATGTTAGTAGGTATTTTTTTTTTCAAATTGACTGGTACTGCTAATGCTTCATAATTGGCTTGCATCACTTAGCAATTATGTAGACCCTGATTGGCGTGCGTCACTTAAGAAATTTTGTATACTCAAAGTTTTACTCATTCAATTTATCAGTAGTGTTATCGGTCACATTTTTGCTTGTGATGCGAATTGCAACTTCGCCTCTGTGTTTTAAGTTTGGCGATTTGAGTTTTGAGCTCGATTTTACAATCTTTTTTCTCAGTGAGTTTCAAACCACGCTCGATACCAATGATGTAACTGTAGCAAAAAAGTACTCACTTCTTTTTGTGGTTTGAAAAGATAGCCAGTAGATAATTGGAAAAAGTGTCGATTAACTCAAGGAGACCCTTTCTTTTTTAAAAAAAAATTTCAACTTAGATTTAGAAAGTTTTTACCTCATCAAAGTTTTTTGAATACCAATTTACGATTAATGATCAATTGATGATGTGCCATTGTCATCTGCCTCTTTGACTACGATACTTTTTTTGAGAAAGCTGAACCAAATTGAGAAATCTGGAGTACATATTTTTTAAAATTTTGTTTTTGGATAGCAGATATTGTTTGCTTTGCTTTGAGCATTTGAATTGAACTTGAAAGAAATCAAAAGCCAAAGCTCGGATTAAACCGAACCGTGATCTAATTTTAATAGTTTTTCTTTAAAAAATCACATATCGACGAAATTAGTATTTTCAATTCGTTCATTGACACTTAACATAGATTTGATAAAATTTATCGAAGAAAATACTGTTTTCCATTACTTTCGTTCAATTTTTAAGAGTCTACAGACATGCTGAAGATTCTTTTATAGATTTTGATGATTTAAAAAAAAGTGCTTGTTTCAAAAATTTCATCTTGATATTATTTTGTACATCGAAAGTTGAAGTTGTTCCGAAAATAAATAAGTTTTTTCTCTTTTTTTTTGCGTTTATGAACTCTTTTCTAACTTTCTGTTGGCTATGTTGGTTTTGTCAGTTAAAGTCTTGAAAATTTATTTACGCTCATTTTTATTGCGGTTTAACTTTTGATTTGTTTTCAAGTTTTTTTAAGAATTTTAAGTTTTTAAGAAATTTTCTAAGAGTAATTAACGAAGTGAAGACTTTTATATAGGTCTTGTTGATTTTTTTGTTTTTTTTTTCAGGAAAAAGTCTTAAAATGTGCATAAAAGTCTCTAATAACTACAGATATGCATTCATACATATTGATGCATTTATGAATGCAGCTAGTTATATATGCATTTTTTGAGTTCAATTGAAATTCATCTGCTGAAATTTACAGATCTCCAATGAAAAAATTCAAATGGCGGGGTTGGAACGGTCTCGATTTTAGGTATTAATTTATAGATAAATACCAATTTGGTTAGAGTTTTGTTTCTTTTTTTTGTACTTGTTAATTGTTCCAATCACGCCTTAAAGGGAGCGGGTCGAAACTGTGGCTGAGGTTTTCACCGTCAATTTTGACTGCATCAATAAAAAAAGCTGTGATATCGTATTGAAGTTTTTTCAGTCGTTTTTAAATTTCATAACAAGGATAGCTGGTTGCTGTGCGAGTAGCATAGAATGTTCTGTCCGTATTCTTAAAAAAATTAAGTTATTCTTAAGTTTTTTTTTCAAATTAGTGTAGTTTTTTTGTGCATTTTAATGTCATTCGAACTACAACTGAAAGGGCTTCAATATATATACTACTCGACCCATTCTGATGATTTTTTGTGGTACCTGATTTTGCAAAGAAAACAAAAGAGAAAAAACTAAAACACACCCGAACACAAATTTCCTCTCCTTTTTCAATGGTCGGAACAAAAGTTATTTAGTCAATCTTAAATGGGCACATGAACTCCCAATTTTGTCATGCTAAGTTTTAAACGTTATTTTAGCTATTAGTACTTCTCATGCTTTCAGTTTTTCTACGTAATTCTTTCACCCTTCTACAATAAAACAACAGGATAAATTAGAAAAAAAATTAAAAAGTATCATATTTTTGTATCAGTTTTTTCAATTTGTCTAGCTCAAGTTTCTTTAATTAAATCATTATAGTCGTTAGCAGAAGAGCCAGGCATTTCGTTCCGAGTCAATACTCTGTATAATCTCGATTTTATGTAATTTCTGAAGTCTCTTCGCAAAATGAACCGTTCTGTAAGTTTTCCTTTTTCGTTTCAGTGAGAAATAATTGTTGGTAGCTAATAGTTGCCGAGGTTATCAGAAAGTAAAAGATGGTCTAATTCTTCAGTTTTTGTCCCTTTTTTTGCAAATGGTCTAGAATCGGAGACTTGAGAAGCAAGGCGGCAAAAATTTAGAAAGACAAAGTCACAATGGCTGGTTGATTTTGTTTTCCTGATAAGAGTCGCTTAAATCAACTGATAATTTTTGTACAATTAATGAATGGCGAAAACTGTTTAATTTTTTTAAAGCTGATATTGCCTTGGGTTTCAAATTTAAAACATTGTGGGAAATCGGAACTGTCTGAAGACGAAGTTTTTGTTGCTGTATTGAAAAATGTGGCGCCATCGAAACACGTAAATCAGTTTCTTTATTCGAGCAAGTTTCCTATGGCCAGTTAAGTATGTTGGCCTGTGTCTGCCCAGTTTCGGTTTTAAATTCCGCAAAAAAAAGTGAATTGCTTTTTGTTCTGAAAAGAAAGAGTTTGCCTTTTTTTAATCGAAGCTTTTTGTACTGTAATGCAAGTAGTTGTACTTCAAGCTACATAAAATTTTCTAGTCTGCATTATTATGGGATAGCTCAAGTGAAGTGATAGATTTTTAATCGGCTTAGAATCATCAAATCAGTGAACAAAAATTGAATATTGGACAAAACATATGATGCCCGTTTTAAGGGTTTTTGCCAGATTTCAGGCTCTGATGCATCATTTAGTACGCTATGTACCATCAATGTCTTGCATTCATCTTTTTCAATTGTTGATAAAAGAAATGTGATATCGCTAATTTGAAAGTCAAAATTAGTTTAAAAAAAACGAAAGTTTTCCGGAAATGTCTTTTTACATCATTTCAATTTCATAATTGATTTTATTTTAAAAGCATTAATATACATTAACTTTTGAGTTCCTATCTTTGCTTCAAATGCAAATTTAAGCAACAAAAAACGACACGCCGACGAGAAAAAAAAGGCAGACGAAAAAGGCAAACGAGAAACTTCAAAGTAGTATTTTGAATTAGTTTTAGTTCGGTGTGAGAATTATTTCGGAAATTTAAGACGTCCGTCTAATTAGTTTGTTTAAAGCTACCACCGATGGATGTTTGTGTTTAGGTTTCTGGTACAGCCCCGAGTGTGAGTTTGTGCGACACTGCATTGACAAGACACAAGAGGTGGTGGAGGGGAAAGTTAGAGTGATGTTGTACAAAGGGGGATGTCACATCCTAGGCAGAGAGTCCCCCCTCAGTGTGTACAACGAGAGTCTAGTGAGTATGGATGTGAAGGGAGACTACGAACCGAGTGACGCCGACGGATTCATCAAGATCAACGCACTCAGGTAAGAAACTAGTAATAGGGTGGTTTGTAAACCATCGAAAAATTTTGAGCAGTTTTTAATTTTGTATCAGTCAGTTTAGTTTCACTATACCGTATTCTTGGTTTGCTGCGGTTTTTGTATCCGGCTTTTTCGGAGACTATTTAACTGTAAGGGAAATGAAAAGAGCACTCAACTGGAAAAGTACGGCAAATAGACTGCATATAACTTTGTTTTTTTTTTTTGCTTAAAACATGTTAAAACGTTTTTTTTTTTAAATCGAAATGTGTTTTTTTTGCGGCCCTGATTTGAACACAAATTGCGTACTTTCCAAATTGCGTGACTTTTAGATGGCTTATATAATCCGCCCATCATCCGATTGTCTATGTTTAGGCTAGTTTTATCACACTACAATACTTTAATTTCGAAAGCTAGTTCGTTTCACTCCCAGCCCTTCCTTAAAATATCTATTTTCAAATTTGAAGAAAAAAAATATAATTTTAGTGGTGTTTTATTGAAGTTTGCATGTTCAACGCCTGAACTCTTCTCAATGCGTTGTATTTCTGCTGATACTTTGCTTTGAAATGTCACGAATTGAGAGCCACAATAGCATGCAAAAGTACAAAAAAAAACAGAAAAATGCGATATAAACGAAGGCGCTAGCTCAGCCTGAGATTGTTGCAAAGCATTAATCCTCACGTGAAGTATGTTTTGGTTCGAAAGTTATTGACAAATTGCGGATTATGCCGAGCATCTTAATGGGTCAAGGTTGATTAGTTCGGATGCTAGGTAAATAAGACGACAGGACATGGAGATGACATGACAATAAGACGACAAAGGAACGTAAAAACATTTAAAATGAACTGTTCAAGTTTAAGCTGTTTATATTTCTCAGACATACAATTGGAGAATTGTGTGTAGCGTCCTAAAGTCCCATCAAAAGTCGTTGTCGTCTCAACATCTGTCGTCTTAGTTGCCGGACACCATTAGTTTGACCCTGTTTATATGCCCTGAACTAAATTAAAATCAGTTATCGGTGTCCCATAAGTGAGCAGTTGTAGGATCGTACAGAGTTGGGAATAAAAATGACAACAATTTGTTTTAAGTATATGAATTGAATTGTTCGATTTTTTCAACTTTTGAAGATCTGCTATTTTTCCGACATGGTTGAGTTGATTTTTTGAATCAGACCTATTTATGCAATCGAAATACTAGTTTTTCATGAAAATTTTTGTAAAACCGAATGAAGATATTGACTCCTTGAGTTCAAGTGTAGAAAAATATTTTACCTGCAATTATTTTTGGGAAAGTTGGGATTTGAAAATTATTTGTTTGCTTTGAAGGTTTCATCTACGTTGCTGAAAGTAACTAGAAATATTCATGCGTGGTGAATTATCAGCCAGTAAAAATCGTTCCAAATTGAAACAAAGATAACTGGTTACTGAACAAGTTGCAACGAATGTTCCGACCAGTCTTGAAAAAATACAAAAAATGTTTTTTCTAGAACTTAGAATATTCGACCGTCATAATAAAATAGATAAGTTGGAAAACAAATTTAGTAGAAAATGAAAAGAAAAAAATCGCTAAATTTTTTTATGAAAACATTTCGAAATTTTTAAATTTTTGCAGAATTTTTTTGAAAAGAAAACTTTGAAAGTCTTTTCATTCCCAAAATGGCGCAAAAAAATTCCAAAATTAACTTTAATCGAGCAGAGTTAAGTTTTCATGGCTTAAATTAAGCATAATTAAGCTGTTTTAAGCCTGCTCGCTCACCTTATTCGCTCGAAATTAGACCAAAAATCAAAAAATCAGACGGATTTCAAAATTTATTAATGTCGTTCGAATCACGACAGAAAGGGCTTTTATATGATATAGCCCACGACATTTTCCGATGATTTTTTGTCGTACCTGATCTTGCGTGGAAAGCAAAAAAAAAGAAAAAAACTAAAACACCCGATTATAAAGTTTGTTTTCATTTTCAATGGTCGGAACAAAAAGACTTATTGAATCAGGCGGAAAACCTGATTGTTCTAGCTACCATAAAGGTCAATGAAAAAGTTTTTGCTCCGAAAATTGTTAACATTTGCGATAAGCAAGGGTGTTGCAACCGGTTACTAGACTTTTCCCCCTGAGTAACTTTGGTCATATGCTGACTCAAGTTTGTAGTCATCCTCAAATCGGAATTGTTGTCAGTTAGCAGGCAAATTTTGAGCATGTATGCATTTTAAGTACCGTTTTTATTCAAAACTGATTTTTATGTTGATTGTAAATTTAACAATTTCATTGTATCAGTTTTTTAAATTTTTCTCCTTCATTCAGACAAGAAAGTTTGGCTGATTGTGTATCGGTATAGTGGCCTCTTGATGAGCAAACGGGGGCCGCCCTACTTGCATTATTAGCTCAATTAGACTTGAGTTTGTTTTCTCACATTTGCAACTAAAACTCAAACTGATTCGTACCGCATCAAATTTAGTGTTTATTGTTCCGACTATCGAAGAAAGTGAGGAATATATATTCCCCGGGTATTTTTTATTCAGTCCAATTTTAGAAAAGTTGACTTCGTATGGGCATCGATACTGAAATCTTGTGATTGCCAAGGGAGTATGCTTGCACTTGACTAAAACGCTGCTTTGATTCTGGAATAATACTTTGATATTTTATTTCAACATGCGAATTATTTATGCGTGGCAAACTATCCGCACTCATAATTGTTCCAAATTGAATTGAGGCAAATTAGTTGGTCTTATTAGTTCCAGAAACGACTCAAATTCTAACACTTTTATATTATAAATTTGTAGTTTGTCAATATTTCATTTACCAAAAACGATATGAGACCAATTAATGGGCAGTCGGAACATTCAGGGCTTTGTCCTGATACGAGCAGTCTTGTTTTTATTGCGGATGCTAGGATGCGCTCACACAAGTCGCTACGCCACCTTACTTAAAGTATCGTATGGGGGCTCATTTTTTCAAAACATACATTTTTTTTTTCAAAAGCTATCAATTTTTAATTTTCTTAAACAGATCACTTTTTTTGGTCCTTAATAGGCAGTTGGATCAATAAGCGCTAATAAGTAATACTTATCCCTTACAGGACTCAAATTTAAGCATTTATTCTTTGATATTGGCATTCAAAAATATATAGTTTATCCAAGTTTTTCTGCGAAAAACTGTTTGCGAGCAGTTTAAGGGCAGTTGGAACATTCAGGGCTGTGCTCTGATATACGAGCGTTCTCCTTAAAAGGTAATGCCAAATAACTAGCAATGTTTTCCTCAATAACTAGCCAAATTTCTCAATGAATTTGGGCGGCATTAATCAATCCAAAATTGCTTTTTTATTTGACGTGGGAAATCAATTTTTCGACTGATTTAGTTGCTCCAGTTCAGTGATATTGCGTACAAGTAGATATTAACTATCAGTCAAATTGCAGTGTTGTGTTTTAGACTCAGGGAATACTGCAGAATTGCGAGGAAATGTGATAAACTGCAGCAAGTGGGATTGAGGCCAGTGAAGAAGTGAAACACAGACACAAAAGGAGATATATTTAAATAGAGAGATAGAAATAACGAGAACAGAACAGAACATCACGAGGACTCATCTCACACGAAAATTAATGCCAACCACCGGACGATTAAACATCTCGAAACATCTCAACTAATGCAGAACAGACAACATCAGAAAGTAAAAAAGGAAGAATGCAATATTAGTCATGGACGGGAGACAAGAAAGACACCAAGACGAGTTAAAGCTAAATTGAATGCAAGAATCATGCTGAAATCAGAAACTTTTTTTAAGGGATGAAGAAAATCGCAGTTGTATTACCCATAGTCGCAGTGATAATCGTTGTTTAGAACTCCTATGTAAAATGCCCTGCTTCCTAATTATAATGCTAATTATTAATTACTAATCAATACTCAACAGAATATTCTGCGGCGGAGCCGCTCTATTATGTACTTTGTAAATGCCTATAATCATTGTATCCTTTCATTAAGCTGAGCTTAAAACTCGTTTAGATATCAAGTTTTGATGTTTGGTTTTCAGTTTGTTTGATGTTATTGAAGATCTAATTTTTTTGTTTGTTTGACGGACTATTTAGTCATCGAATTTGTTCGTTTTTGCCGAAACGTGCTTTGTATGTGCTATTTACTTGAAGTAGTCGCCTTTATATGGGTAGCTTACTCACCAGCCCCGTGCATAAAGTGTAGTTTGAAGGTTGTATTTTATTTAGATCTCGCTCGCCAATCAATCCAGGTGATGTATGTCTGTAATCTTCTGATTTTGTTGGATCTTGTATTCTTAGCCCTCGAATATATCTGCATTCCTTTCCGTTTTTCCAGACTCACGAAGCCAAGAATGAAAAAGAGACACGGATGCGGAACAATAAGCAGAATGGTCTAAGAGCAGAATGGGTCCAAGAGCAGAAAAATGTTAACATTTACTGATTAAGAGTAATTAAAGTAGCGAAGACTATTATATAGGTCTTGCATATAAGAGTCTTCACTACGTTAATTACTCCTAATCAGTAAATGTTAACATTTTTATATAGGTCTTTTTCAGGAAAAAGTTAAAACTTGTTCGCGCTCAATTTTGATGTTTCTCGGTTTCTTTTCAAGCTCAGTGCATTTTTATTGTTAAAAGGAGGTTAAACTCCACTATCGAACAGCAAAATGGTTAAGGTCACAAAAAAACGTGGTCGACTTCTAATTTCGAATATGGAAATTAATTGTCAGATTTCCCAGCGAAATAAAAGTTTTACCTATTGATCCAGTTTTCTCAAATTGTTCCATAAATTAAAGGACTTTAAGGCCATCTGTGTTTTTTCTTCGAATTCAAGATTTCTGAAACAACAAGTCGGAAAAATTTTAAAATGAGCATAAAAGTCTTTACTACAGATGTGTATTCATACATATTGATGCATTTATGAATGCACTTAGATATATTTGCACTTTTGCAATTTTTGAGTTCAATTGAAATTCATCTGCTGAAAGTGACTTAAATAGCACTCTCTACCAACGAAAGTTTAAATAGAGCGAAAAAACGTGAACGATTTCTAGTCTCAAAAGAGGAATTAATTTTTTTAATTTCAAGCTAACTAAAAACTTTATCTGTTGATCCTGTTTTCATCAAGTTGGGTTAATGTTATCAAAAAAGTGCCAATCATAAATCGTTTTAGAAATTCGAAGAGTTTTTTCTTAGAAAATCGAAAGTTGAGATAAATTCAACAAAGTCAGTGGTTTTTTAATGTTTACTTGCGTTCATTACTCTTTTCCAATTTTTGATTGGCTGTGTTAAATACGTCCGAACTGATAAAAAAACAACTATCAGAATTGACAATAATACCGAGAAATAGACAAAAATATTCATGAATTGAATAATTTCTAGTATTTTTTTATTGAATTTCAAAAAAACCTCAATTAAATTACTCAAAATATGCATAAAATTTAAATTTCTCTCTCGTAATACTGACTACTACTATACTTGATTTACTGATCAGCTTACAAGAAATGCTGCCCAAGAGTAAAAAAAACGGAGAAACATGAACCTTCCCTTAGACTATTCTGCCTATTGACTGCCCACCAAGAGACAAATAAAACTGAAACATAACTGCTGGTTTTAGGGCAAATCGTGAATTTTCTGAAAATCGTTTCAAGTTTCTGATAAACAAAGTTTAATCTCCAGGCAGGAAATTCCAGTTAGAACGCGATATACTTTGCTTAGTAAAGAATAATTTCAATTAAATTACCTTGCCTCAATTCAATATCAACGATGAAGTGTAAAAATTTGAGTTGTACCAAATTATTACGATCGACTAGTAAGCCTCAATTCAATTTTGGATTAATGACGTTGAGAGGGATATTTCGCCACGCATAATCTAGTGCAGAGCATAGCCAAATTGGCAATGTTCAAACTCCTAAAATTTTGCAATACTAATTGGATGCAAAATATTTTTTAAGTTTGGTATCAGAGAGTCGTTATCTTCAATGAGTCATAGAAATGTTTCAAAAACTATTATTTTGATGGACGAAACTTGACTGAATGTAATCTGACAAAAAAGTATAAATATTCCGTTTTCTTTGAAAGTCGGACCAAAAAATAAGAAACTTGAAGTCTTCATCAGTTTACAAAAAAAGGTGTGTTTTTTTTCAATTTTAAACGCAATTAACCTAAATTTTTCCACTTTCATCAAAAATACAGTCAATAACTTTGCTTTAGAAAGTTGTGTTATATTGAAAGCCAGTTTTTCCAAAAAATGCTTCGTTTTCTAATTCGTTTATTTTTTTTTGAGTGACTGTAACCCACTTCTTTTTAGAAATGGTACCATCAGTTTCAATTTTGAGCTCAAGCTTCAAAAAGTTATTATGGTTTACAGTCAGTAAGTTGCCTTCAAAAACTCTATAAAATTAAAGCATGTGTTTTCAAACATTGATGCATTTTTTCATTCGTAAATTTTCCTGTTGAAATACTAATCAACTCCTTCAAAATTGTAACCCATTAGTTTCAAATTTGAGTTTAAGCTTCAGAATATTTCGATGATATAAAAAACACTGCCAGTAGTTTGCCTTCAAAAAATGTTTTAAATTAAAACAAGTGTTTCTAAACCTTGATGCATTTTCTTATTCGTTAGTTTTCCTGTTTAGTTACTACCCTGCTCCTTCTTCGAAATTGTAACGCATTAGTTTCAATTTTTAGCTCAAGCTTCAGAATGTTTCGGATGATATAAAAAACATAGTCAGTAGTTTTGCTTCAAAAATCGTTTCATATTAAAAACAACTGTGTTTGGAAAATTTGTTCGTTTTTTTTTGTTGGATGACTGTAATGTTTTACCTATAATTAAAACAATTAGATTGTAATAAATTGGAGCAAACCCTTCGGCGGACTCAATCATTGTGTTTCAAGATGTCTTGTCTTTCTAGAAAATCTTTTGTTTTCACATACGAAAAAAAATTATCTCATTGCGATTCCAAACTACAACGAAATGTTTTTGATGGTTTTTTGGCGGAGCCTAGGAAATGTTTCTAATTCTTGAAGCTCATTTTTAAATGTTTTTATTTCCAATTTTGTTTCATAATCACATTATTTGATAATAAACGCATAAATTTTTGAAAAACATTTCGTCCTCGTGATATGCAGTTTTAGACAAGTAACCAATTATAGACATTGCTCAGCAATCACCTTGTGGCTGACGAAGATGAAATGAGAAGTGCGACCGTCTCTTCTGGTCCGTCACATTTTTTAGTCATTTGTGTGCAATGTTTCTAGTTCTATTATTTTTAAAAACTGTCTTTGTTCCGATAACTTCGCGAAGTGGTAAGAAATATGGCGTCGGATGTTTTGTTATTGTAACACATTGTCTACCTCAAAAAAATCATAGGTATTTATAACTCAGGTTCATTTGCAAGTACTGTTGGCTGTGATTGAGAGACCAGGCACAAACTTCAAAACTGTTTTAAAACAAATTTCGAAACTTGTCTGTGTCAGAAAAATTAATCGGAGTAGTTCGGTTTCGAGACAAAATTAGATAGATATTGATTAGAGGCTGACCTTCAATCCGATCATTTCAGATTGATGTAGGTCTTTGAACTTCTGATTTTTTTGATCTTGTATCCTTAGCTTTTGAATACATCTGCATTCTCCGTTTTACGCAGGCTCACGAAGCTGAGAGCAAATGAGAGCGAGTAGCATGACAAACAAAATTGAAACAATACTGTTTGTTTTTGAGGCAAAACCTTAAATGTTCGAAACGCTTTTTAAAGTGTCTGACCCTAAGTAATCAATTTTAAATTTTAAAAAATTGAAATTTTGTAGTACGTTTTTTTTCTGAAGCAATGCCAGGTACAAAGAAAAAGAAAGAACGAAAGAAAAAAAGGAAACTATTGTCAAAAAGCTCTGGAATTTTAAACAATATGCACAATTAAATATGCTTCACGTCTCAAGTTACAAAATGGTAGCAAGTTAAATATCTTGTGAATTTTGAGCTCTAGTTTTTTTTAAATTAAGTTTCCGAGGGCACAAAAATAGACTGTCAACAGTTTTGTTTATATGACCTGAAAATGTTTAATATTTCAAACCTATTTGTTCCAAAAAAACGCTTTTTGTATTTTAATTTGTTTCCTATCCTGTCGAATGACTGTAAGCCATTTATGAATTGTTTTGATTAGAGCAATTGAGTATGTAATAAATAAGAGCAACCTTCAGGGTGGAACTAAGGTGTATACGTTTGAAGATGTCTGGCATTTCTCATACAGAAAATATATCAACACTGCGACAGTCTAAAACAACTAAGCCTCACTGGATGTTTGAACCAAGACTCATGGTTTTTTTTAAAACCTTGTAGCTCAATTTTCAACTGTTTAAACTATTGAATGTGAGTAAACAAAATTCTGTGTTTGTAAAAAATCGCTTCTCGGGCTTTTAACGGTAGTTTTAGCCAAGTAATCAATTAGGTATTTTGCTAAGCTTTCAGGTTCTGGCTGACAAAGTTGAAAGGAGGAGGTCAACCTTTTGCTATGTGGTTCCTCCCCTTTTTTGGTTATTTTGATCCCACCATTGCAAATGGGGAGGAACTATGTATTGGGGTGTATTTCATTTTCCGTTTTTCATGCAAAATCAGGCACCACAAACAGTTATCGGACTGGGTTGAGTGATATATCATATTAAAACCCTTTAAGTCGTGATTCAAACAACTTTCATAAATTGCCAAAAAATTCTCAGAGTCGATTAAAACCGGTCTGAAATTTTTGATATTTTGTCTTACTCCGAGCGGGTAACGCGATCGAGTAACGTTCGTCAAGTTTTTCGATTATTTTTGTTATAGTCAGAAAATAGTCAGAAACTTTGTATTGGGCTGTGTTTCATATTTATTGTTTTCCACGCAAAATTGGCTACCAAAAAAAAACATTTCAGACTGGGCTGAGTGATTTATCATTCTAAAGCCTTTTTTAATCGTGATTCGAAACACTTTAAAGAATTTTCAAAAGAGGTTCATTTGTCTAATTTTTCATAGTGTCTAATTTTTAGGACTTTCAAGCTCTCAAAACTTAATTTTATTTTGAAGAAAAATAATTATCGATGTTTCATTTAGCGCTTTATTGGTAATAAAGTTTTTGTACCCAAAAAATAAAAAAAAAATTTCTTTTTTTTTGTGTGGTATTCTTTTCTTGAAAAAAAAAATGAAGTTATCTGTCTAATTCACTGATTTTTTTATCGATCTTGAATCAAACCACGCACTAAAAACGACACCAATTTGAAGAAATCATAAGAAAAAAAAACGTTTTTTCCTATTTTTTCTAAAGAAAACGATAGGAACATTCTGTCCTACTAGCACA